GACTTAAGTAAAATCCCCAGACCTAAGGAGCAGACCAGACTTAAGTAACATCCCAGACCTAAGGAGCAGACCAGACTTAAGTAACATCCCCGACCTAAGGAGCAGACCTGACTTAAGTAACATCCCAGACCTAAGGAGCAGACGGGACCTAAGAAATTGACCATGTCGATGGAACGGACCAGACCTAGTGGACAGGCCACAGTTGAGGAACAGACGGGACCTAAAGACCAGACTACAGAGGTAATGACCAGGCTAAAGACCTGGTGACAGTCACAACTTCTGAGGCAGACCAAACCTAAGGAACATACCAGACCTAAGGAACATACTAAGAAAGAGTTCCACAATGTGATAAATATATGGACCTGACATAAGGGTTGTTTTAGTGGTAGTATAATGAAAAGAAAATGGCGTCTTAAACTCTTCATTTTGTCCCCCCTCCAAAAGATTTTGTCCCCCCTCCAAAAGTCTCGACTGCTCAATCATGAATTCGCCTGACATGGAGTCAACTGCCGCCATTGTCACTGTCATGCTCATGGACCTGACATGGGGGTCAACAGTCAACAGCCGCCATTGGCACAGTCATTCTCATGGACCTGACATGAGGTCAACAGCCGCCATTGGCACTGTCATTCTCATGTACCTGACATGAGGTCAACAGCCGCCATTGGCACTATCATGCTCAAGGACTAGCCTCGGAATTTTGACCATTGCATTTAAAAAAAATAAATAAATGGGTAGCTTGGTCAATAAATGATGAGCATGTGACGCCTTTCTGTCGTACGTATCTTATGTAGTTCTCCCCATGTTTCCAGCTTTTTGGTCCTACAAGAATCGTTACGATATGACTGCAAAGGGATCGTTGGTTTTTTAATATTTATTACCACATTTGAGCCTTGATTGAGAACCTTTGAATTAGAAGTTTTCTTTTTTTTTGTTTTGTGGGGGGGGGGGGGGGGGGGGGGGGGGGGTTTGCGGGTGGAGCGGGTTAAGGGGATCAGAACGGCACAGTCACAGTTGAACGACTTTCACCGGAGTACCTAATTGTTTTTCTCTGACTTCCCTGACTTAAAACATGGCTGGATGACTATCGATTAGATCATGACGCCGTCCGCCTGTCCGTTGATTCTAACCAACGCGTGACGTCATGTGTGGCAGTCGTAGAGCAGTAATGTGATTGGTTACCGAAACATGAGGTACCCAGCTTCGATGTCCTTGATCGAGGCAAGGTGGTGTGAGGCGAGGTGATGGAGACGCTTTAAAACAGGGTTTAAAGACCTGGCCAGCGTAATCTGGAGGAGGGCTTTGGCTATTTATATGTGGCATTAATTGTACTTCTAAATCAATGTTTCACAATATTTTTTTTTTGCCACACCTGAGCATAGGAAAGGTTTAATGTTACCCCCCACCCCACCCCCATAAACATGGCCCCCATGCTTGCCACCTGGAAGAGTGAAATTCAATTTTTCGGCCTGGGTTAGGGTGGTTAGGATTAGGGGCTAGGGTTAGAGCGGTTAAGAGTCAGGGGTTAGTGTTACAGTGGTTAAGGTTTGGGCTGTTAAGATGGTTAGGGTTTTTTAGGATAAAAATAATGCGAGTGAAATGTATTTGCATGTCAGTAAATGCCAAACATCCTGTCTAACATTGCCAGCCCGCTCTCCCCTTCTTTGAAAGGTAAATACAATGATCTGTCTGAGAGACTATGTATTCCCCTCCCCAACCCCCACACACTGCCTGACTCGTGTGAGGCACTTAATGCCTAGCAGTATTGCCGTCTTATGCAAGTGCGGATTTAGGTTTACGGTGAACTTTAAAAAAAAAAAAAAAAAATTGAAAACTTCTCATTGGTAGTGTTAGGGCTAATCATCCTAAGGGGGAATATATTTCTTGGCTGTCCCTCTAGGTGTGAAATGGAACCAGCTCCTATGATGTGTCTGACCCTGTTTAACTGGTGCTCCTTCTTTGCCAGGAACTCAACATCTGTTCAGCCAAGTCTCATTTGACATAACGCTGATAGAACTTCTCTTTCTTTCGCTCTCTCTCTTTCTCTCTCTCTCTCTCTCTCTCTCTCTCTCTCTCTCTCTCTCTCTCTCTCTCTCTATATATATATATATAGATATATATATATATATATATATTTTTTTTTTTTTCTCTCTCTCTTTCTTTCTCTCTCTCTCTCTCTCTCTCTCTCTCTCTCTCTCTCTCTCTCTCTCTCTCTCTCTCTCTCTCTCTCTCTCTCTCTCTATATATATATATATATATATATATATATATATATATATATAATTGTCCCCTTCTCTCACTCTTTCTTTCTCTCTCTCTCTTTCTTCCCCCTCTCTATATTCCCAGTATCACATCACTTTCTGATGTGTTTTCCTTTTTTTTGTTTTATTCATTACATTTCCTTTAGTGATTTATGAGGAGTAGCAAGCATCCATTCCTGTCACTAACTTTAGCTTCATTATATTTTAGAATGAAAATGTTCCCATTGTTATGATAAACTCAATTTTATTTATTTACAAAGAAGAAAAAAAAGATATTTTAAAAGCAAGATAGAAATATGTTAAAACTACCCATTTATTAAATTAAATCAACTGGTAAATACTTCAACTGTTTTATTTTTTAATTTGTTAAAATTAATTTATTTTCAAACATGACAAAACTGTCATTGACATAAAACTATCATTGACATAAAACTATCATTGACATAAAACTATTATTGACATAAAACTATCATTGACATAAAACTATCATTGACAAAGCTCTGTTTAAGGAGTAAATATATAATTGAAACATACTTTATAAACATTACTTTTTGGGGGTTGGGGGCGGGGGGTTGCTGCTGTAATTTTGGTGGTGTATCAACATTGCTAAAATTGCTGAGTTATGGTAACTGCTGGTATCTTAATAAAGTAATCAGACATAATCATGACTACCTGTCTCAAACTGTGGTCTGTAGGGCATCACTGGCCGGTCAGACAATGGTTGATCACTCTTCCGTTAGAGTGCAACCAATACCTTCTCAATGTGATCATGGCAATATCCCCATGAACTCAGCTGAATAACTGGTTAGTATACTAATAATCCAGCACCTGTTAGTTGGGTTGTCATACAAGTGACAGATACATACTGTGTCGGGTTGAGGGCTAGTTCACTAATAGCCCTAAAAATGAGGAGATAATTGTTAGTGGTCTTTGGAGATTTAAACCACAGACATTTCCCAAATGTTGGAGGTCCTAAAACTACCAAGAGCAGTGCACATTCAGTTGGTTGTGTTATCAGTGCTTCTCAAACCACAGACATGTTCCAAATGTTGGAGGGTCTAAATCTACCAACAGCAGTGCACATTCAGTTGGTTGTGTTATTATCAGTGCTTCTAAAAAAATTAAATTATTTTCAATACTTACTTATACTTCATCCATTTGTTAGTTAAGAATTTAAAAAAAAAAAAATACAAAAAACAAAAAAAAAACCTGTATAATTTCATTAATGTACCTATAATCATTCACTTTGAGAAGCTCTGGTTTGTTTGTCTGTTTATATATAAATATTTGTATGTTTTTATGTATGTATGTGATTTGATAGAATGTTTATCATTTGTTAGTTAAGAATTTAAAAAAAAAAAATACAAAAAACAAAAAAAAAACCTGTATAATTTCATTAATGTACCTATAATCATTCACTTTGAGAAGCTCTGGTTTGTTTGTCTGTTTATATATAAATATGTGTATGTTTTTATGTATGTATGTGATTTGATAGAATGTTTATCATTTCTAACTTCCCTGTGTCTCATGACAAAAATGTATTTTTTACAATATTTCTTTTAATGTTGAATTCCATGTCAGATAATTTAAAATCTCAAATCATCTTCCTCCAATTATTCCATTTATCATGGCCAAAAAAAAAAAAATAACCTATTAAAAATTGATGTTATGTCTATTTTAAAAAGAGACATGTATATATCATTTTTGTTTAGTTAATGTTTTTTTATTTTCTTTCTTCCCGCGTTTTTTAATGCATGCCTTCAATACAAAAATTGCTGGTACAGACGTTTATGTTTTTGAGTATGACTCTAGATGTGTCTTATGTTATTGCTTCATCAGTATCCATACTGTATCTTCCCAACATTCCCCATTTTCACATACAAAACGTAGATGACCTTGTAGCATCCATATATGTTAAAAAAGCAACCATGAAATATTCCTAATGGTAGACGCTGGTAAAGCAACAGTGGAGGATTTCCCAACCCCCTGAATCCGATTAGGAATGAACCCCTACTTTTGGGAATTAGGAATCAGGTCGTTTAAAAATGTACAAGTACAGTTTTAGAAAGTATAATCAAACGAAAAATTGAGAATTTTTTTGTTCAAAAGGGAAATAAGACATTTAGAGCGGGGGGGTGGGGGGAACAACAAATATTTAAAGGGAAATAACTAATTTTGGATTGAAAAAAAAAAAAACCCAACCAAAAAGAAGCAGTTAAAATAAAAAAGCAACCAACCACTATTGCTTTAAAGGTGTGAAAGCTGTGAATAAGAACACATGTCTTGCCTGCCAGTCCTTCTGTCTCTCTCTAATTATTTGTTAAATCTCTCCATTTTGACATGGCTCTTGATCTTGGAGTTAAAATTTTGGTTTTCTAAAAAAAAAAATAAAAAAATTCCAACAAATGAAACTTCCGTGCATTGGAAAATTGAAGACAAATGTGATAGGACCACATACATGTATGAAGAGTTTTGATATAAAAAAACATCTTTAAAAAATAATCAATACTGCTACAAATAATAAAAACACCAACCCACTAAATAACAGTATAATTTTTGCCAATCTTGAACACATCAAAGTGTTGACCATGATTGAGGCTCATGTAGGAGATAGAGTAGGTGTGATTTTTAAAAAAAAAAAGCTGAGGAGAAAATTCTAAATCTTAAGATTTCTCATAAAAGAAGAGTCAAACTCAAAAACATGCCCAACCAAGCTGTATTATCAATTTTTGTCTTGTAGGAGAGCGCAAGTACATTTGTTCGCTCTGTGATAAGGGCTTCAAGCAACTTTCACATTTGCAACAGCACTTCCGCATACATACGGGTGAGTGCAAATCTTTTGATTAGCAGGTTACATTTGTTTCGTATGTTATCTTGCAATTAGTTGATGCGCACACACACACACATACTATACTGTCCCAGGTAGTGTAACTGTCAAAATTTAAAACAAAAGATTTTAAATTTTAGTAGGTATATGATACTAGAATCTGGTTCAAACCAATGCAGGAAGGAAACAATCTATGAAGTGAATGATAATAAATTGAATAAAATTTTATTGTAATTGTATTTTTTGTTAAAAATTAAAAAAAAAAAATAAAAGGCCAAGAGCTAAGTATATGTGTTAGATATGAAATATATTATGTAGGTCAAACAGCCGTTGTCTTCCTGGTCACTACAGCAGCAACTTGGCCATGTAGTATGTAGCACCTTGCTTATAGAATATAGGCTATAGAGCGGTGAAAGGATCCCTAAGTCATGAACTGATAAGGAGACTTAATTTTATAGAACCATTTAGATCTTTGGTGACAGTATTTAGCTCCCATTGCCACATGTCCAGTCTGTACAGCCATTATAATTAAAATGTTTTATTAAAAGATTGCAACTTCGGAGAAAAAATAGCTGTTAATAAGGTCAAGAATTTAACTTCAGTATTTATCTTTATCTCTAAAAAAACCCATTTTTTTCAACAAATATTAAATTTAAAAAAAAATGATTTAGCTTCAAACAAGTAGTTAGCCAGGAAAAAACCTAACAAAAGTTGCTGTGTTAATTTGTTAAGCTTAGTTCATTATTGAGCACAACACATCGCGACAGACCACACACACACACACCTCACACTTGAAGAAACACTATTGATTTGTCTCCTTTTGGTCAACTCCTATTTGTTTTTTGTTCATGGTGGTTCCCCTCGTCTTGTATTTCTCAGACGAGCGCAAGTACATCTGTTCTTGTTGTGAGCGAGGATTTAAGCAGCTTTCACACCTACAGCAACATTTTAGAATTCACACGGGTGAGTCATTTTAAGGCCATTTCACAACAGGAATGTTCCTAACAAATCATTCCTGCTGTTTTTGTCTGTCTATTGTTTGGGGCGAGAAAATTTAGCCCAGAAAGTTTATCGTCATAACTTCAGCCTGGGGAAAATTCACAGAAGAAAATATATTTTCAAAACTTCAGTGCTGGGAAAATTCATCGTTGAAAATTTATAGTAAAAACTTCATCTCTGGGAATTTTCATTGCACACAATTTATTGCAAAAAAAAAAAATGGCATGCTGAGAAAAGTTGTATGTAAAGACCCATTAAAAAGAAATAAACCTGCTTGACAAGAAATGACCAAAAACAATTTCACTTTATGATAACTGCTACATCATTGATCAGCTCAATAGCATTAACTCCGTCTTTCAGTTATATTTCATATATTTTTGGGACTCAGGACTATAAAGGTTTTTTTCAGCACATATGTTGAAATAATTTAGAAAAATTCTTTAAAATATCTTTAAGAAACTAGATGTACACCCTGGGCATGATGTAAGGTTTGTTATTTAGTATAAAATAATCCACAATGAATTTTCCCTGCAACCATTGTGATTCAATGAATTTTCCAGACAGGTTCATTATATTACTCTGATACTCTAGGGTGGAGTGTATTAGTCAAACTTGTCTTGTCGCATCCAAACCGTCAAATTTTTTAATTTGTGGTCTCAAAACTATATGTGTGTTTGTTTTTTTTTAAATACAAAAGAAATGATTATGTAAATATATGTGATGTCTTTTCAACATTTTTGTACTTGACTGGCTGGTCAAACACACATCAAAATACTTACAGTTCATAAGCCTTTTTTTTTCTCTCAAAATGTTCACTGTGACTGAAAATATCCTAATTGCAGCTGGGTTTAGTGTTGAATGTTGCTCTTGGATCTTCTTAAATTTCAGTCTGTTAGGATAACCTGCCGAGGACAGTCCCCTGACCACCACTTTAGTAGCACTGGACTAAGACTAAGACAAGTCATCATTTAAACTACTAATTAATCATGAGAGTGGTAGGGCTAGACAAAATATTCTTAGCACTTCTGTCAAATTTTTCTGCTCCAGCAATTCATTTTGGGCACCGTAATGTTTTTTTATAGAGGTGTATTTGGCTTCATTAAAAATTTTGTTTATCTGCTCATTATTTTTTGTGAAATAAAAATTATAATTTATTCCCTGAAATCAAATAATAGAAAAAAAATCTATTTGACAAAACAACGATTTGGAGTTAGAAAATATTTATTTCTCTTATTCGGCTGCTTATTAAGTATTATTTTTAAATTGAAAAGGCTATTATAAAATTTAAAGCATGTATTCACTGAATGCTGGCAAGCATTTCACGGGAAGTGTCATATTGTATTTTGTCATGCCCTGTGACTCATTTCAGTCTTCAACCTTGTCAGCCTCTTGGGGGTTAACTTAAGCTCCATCCTTCGAAAGGCACCCCTTGAAGGTACCAGGTCCGTCAACCCCCACCCCCCCTCCCCCCCTCCCCTCGAATGTCTATTCGACCCACATCACCGTTATTTTTCTCTCACTTTCTCTCTTTGTTTCAGGTGAGCGAAAATATGTTTGTCAGATTTGCAACCGTGCATTTAAACAAATGACGCACTTACAGCAGCACCATAGAATACATACTGGTAATGGCTGTCTTACACACCCAGCTGTAGTAGACTTTGGTTCCAGTGCTTGCATGCATCAATGATTTTGTTGGTTTTTTTGCTTATTTTTTCAACAGAGATGCTATTCGAAAAAAAAGTTTTGCACTTCCCGTTATAAAGATGAAGCTTACTTCTACATAAATAAGCATGCAGACTGATCAGCTTTAAAAAAAAAAAAAAATTGTTTAAAATTGCCTTTCAGGTCATTTGATGACATCTATAGTTACTAGCATCTCTGAAACAATTTTTGTGGTTTAAACTCTTTTTTTTTTAACTTACCCTTGTTTTACCCACACACACGCATAACCCACCTAACATTTGGCCTGAACAAAAATACCAAACGTGCTATTGCTTCAAGGTTTACTGTGGTAGATCCAGAGAGAGTTGAACACCATGATACAAAGAAGTCTGCAACATTGCAGGGTTCCACAATTTCAAGTTAGGTTTGGATACTTCTGTGTGTTTTACCAGAAGCTTGACAAGTTTTTGTAAAGGGGGGTGGGGGGGGGGGTGTTATAATGATTTGTGTTGACTCTGAATCTACCACAGTGCCTGCGTACAAATTACTTAGACATTTTTTTTTTTGTCATGGTATTTAGTTTTTTGTGTTCCTTTCATCAACCATACCAATGTTGGGGGGGGGGGGGGGGGGGTGTTATAATGATTTGTGTTGACTCTGAATCTACCACAGTGCCTGCGTACAAATTACTTAGACATTTTTTTTTTTGTCATGGTATTTAGATTTCTGTGTTCCTTTCAGCAACCATACCAATGTGCATCAAGTATGAATTTTTTTTTCACTTTGTTTCTTTAGGATTCATTCAAAGTTTTTGTTTATCACAGCTATTTTCAGTGTTTGAGAATGTGTTTTTCCCCATTTTGTTATTTCCTCTCATTGTCACAAATACACTGCACTAAAGAACAGAGTGAATCTATGGACAAAATACATGTCTGATTTCTGTCATAAATTACTGGGCATGCTACATGTCTGATTTCTGTCTGAGAGAGTTGATGAAAGTTTGGCTCCATGTATGAATTTGAAAACATCCTTAATTCATTGTAATCTCGATTTTTTTGTGTTTCCTCCATAGGAGAGCGCAAGTACGTTTGCCAGATATGCAACCGTGCATTTAAACAAATGACCCATTTGCAGCAGCACCATATCATACACACGGGTAAATACATTAGGGCTCAGTTGTATACTTCTTTATTTTTCATTCTGGTCTTTCTCAATTGTTTTTTTTCTAAAAATACATTTGAAATTTATAAAAGATAATTTATGTTTAGGTTTCTTTTTAAAATGTGATTTGTCGCCATTTAAAAAATTAGTTGTAGGGTTTAATAATAATGTCACATTGGATAAGTGAACAATTTTAAATTGGACTTGCCACATTGGATTAAGGACTAATTTTAAATTGGACTTATTGTTTTGTTTTAAATGGCCTTTGTCAAATTTGTTCAATGTTTCATTTTAAACGTAATTGGTTGCACAGGATAATTTTTTAGCTTTGAAGAAAAAAAAAAAGAAAAAAAGATGAACTCAACAATTATAAAAGCAGTTATATATATAAAGATATATTCAAATTGACATGGCTGAAAACTGCTTATCCATTTCAAATAAAGCATTGATTTTTTTAAAAGTGCTCTCAAAAGTTTTCATTGTTTTTTTTTTAATGTTTCAAACTTATCATTTTGGTTAAAAAAAAATGGATTCCATTGCTCATAAATCATTTTATGACATCGTGATCAACATAATGTATGAACATTTCATCAGCACTGATAATTTAATCAAAATGAAAGATTTGAGCTTTGTTTTTTTTTTTTTTTTAAAGCAGCTGTTAAACTCACTTTTTACCCCTTCAGTTTTATACATTTATTTTTTTTAAAAGCAGGAGTGAAATTTAAATTTGAGATTGGCCTTTTCAAAAAATAAAGGTATCGTGATCAACATAATGTATGAACATTTCATCAGCACTGATAATTTAATCAAAATGAAAGATTTGAGCTTTGTTTTTTTTTTTTTTTTTAAAGCAGCTGTTAAACTCACTTTTTACCCCTTCAGATTGATACATTTAATTGTTTTAAAAGCAGGAGTGAAATTTAAATTTGAGATTGGCCTTTGCAAATAATAAAGGAGTTTACACTAGTTAATCAACAGTTTGTGGTTGTCTGGTGGTGACCAAATGTGATTGGTCTATTACAACAATTAGTTGATGTCTCAGGAGAGATGTGAAGCTTAATATATTCTATTTAAACAATTTGTTGTTTGGTGTGAGTGCTGCATGAATGAATACAGCAGAAATCGAGCTTACACGGCCAATACACAGCCAGTTACATCACTACCTACATTTTCTGTTCCTTTATTTTTTTGTGATTTATTTTTTTCCTAATTAAACATTTTTATTTTCCCTTTTAAAGTAAATTGCATTAACAGCATTAAAAGTTTTACAAAATAATTCTGGTGACAGAAGAATTGCAAACACGCTAGATTTTGGTAATCATGTTGACAAGTCTTGTTTTTAAAGCTTGCATGCTCATCAGCTTGATTACATTGTTGAAGCTGTTATTGTCGTGGTTCAATTTATGTAATTTACAAAGGAACAAAAAATATCTGTGCAGATGTAATCTCGATTTTTGTCTTTCCTCTGTCAGGGGAGCGCAAGTACGTTTGCCAGGTGTGCAATCGTGCATTTAAACAAATGACCCATTTGCAGCAGCACCATAGAATTCACACAGGTAACCCTCTCACCTCGACATCGGGTACCCTGGTTCAAGGATATATGTTGTTAGATTATAATTTTGTTTGCAGTAAAAAAAAAGACCCCCCCCCCTCTCCCTCTCCCCCTGAACTATTGCTTAATGTTACGGCTGTGCAACTACTGATAAAAACCAAAAAAAAAGTTTTTAAAAAAAGTAAAAATGTAAGTAATCAGTCTTCATTTGCAAAAAGTGTATGTATAACTTGAAATTGTAAAGACTAATTAATGGATGAGTCCTTGGAGTTGACATAAATCCTTGAGACTGAGGGTACCACTGTATGTTACAGGTCTGGTCAGTTTTGTTCTATGAGTGCCTGTGAGTGCCTGTGATATTTACATGTCGCCTTATAACAGTGTCCAAAGTATGTATTTAATGGTGTCTATTACAGAAATCAAATTTGCGAGAGAGAAAAAAACAAAACATTTTTGAGTCTGAACTTTGACCCCCCAATGTTCAGTTCTATGTCACAAGGAAACTTAATTTTTTTGTCATTTTTAAAATATAAATTTTATTTTGGTAATAAAAGAAAAGAATCTGACTTGAAAATCTTTCTGCTGGCCAAAATTTCAATATTATTTATCTGGTGACATATTTGACACTAATGATTTGATTTGATTCTTCTTTCACCAATACTCGATTTTTAATTTTGTCAAAATTCATAAAGAGCCTTTGTGCCAGACTTAACAGTAAAACTGCAACATGGGACATTCTTTCGATTTATAAATGTGAATTGTTACAATCTTACATTTGTGTGCATATCAGGCTCAGAAAGGGACTGTACTCTCGGTTTTTGTCTTTTCTCCCCTAGGAGAGCGCAAGTACGTATGCCAGATTTGCAATCGAGCATTTAAGCAATTGACACATTTGCAGAAGCACCATGTTATCCACACGGGTAAATAGCCAGGCCTCCTGTGTCTGCCAGTCTGTCCTGTTTGTCTTGTTCAACCATCTTATCTTCACGACTGGCGATGCCAGACAAAAATCGAGGTCTTAAAATTTTGAGTCTGAGCCTTATAAGCAAATCAGGAGGGAAAATAACAAATGATGGGCGATGTTACTTAAAATTGACTCATGACATGCTTAAATCATTATTGGGGGAGAATACATTTCTTTAAAAAGTTGACAGAATTTATGCATAAAAATATTGGTACAACAAAGAAGATCAACTTGCAGGGTGATCGTGATTGCAGAACGTCTGTTGAAATAAACAATTTAAGAAACTGACTAAAGGAAAGTGTATTGAAAACTTTACGAGAAACATTTTCCAATGGTTCATCAACTAGACATTTATTTTCATTTAAGATTTAGTTTCTTCTTATATATTTATTTTGAAACTTGACTTTTTACTTTTTAAAACAAGAACATTTTTAAAGCATCTTTGCAATTAATTGCAAAAAAGAATGATTCGTGTTCATTAATATAAGGCTTTGAGATGACAAAGTAAAAGTACATTGAAATAAAAAAATAGTGCTCTTGTATACAGCTGTCTTGTTTTGACCTATAAAGGAGTATGCTGATGAGAACTAGTAGCTTTAAAAAATCTTCACTTCTGCCTACATTTCTTTCTCTTATAAATTTTGATACGGAAATTTTCCTAAGGAATCAGACTCGAAATTTAAGAATAATCTCGATTTTTGTATTTCCTCTCTAGGAGAGCGCAAGTATGAATGCCAAGTTTGCAATCGTGCATTTAAGCAAATGACACACTTACAGCAGCACCATAAAATACATACTGGTAATTTGCTTCATATGTTCTTGTCTTATGTGGTCTCACTTTGTCGGTCCTCTTGTCTTATGGGGGCCATGTCTTGTTTGGTAGTATGTCTTGTCGGTGAGTCTGAATTTAATTGCTGTTTTTTTTAAATTTAAAATTTTAGAGTTGTATTTGGGACAAGGAAGCTACAATCTAGTACTTTACTACCTTATAAATATTTAATTAAACAATATCCAAGTAATAAATTATAAATAGGAATTCATTTAATGCACAATTCAGTTTGATGTAAGAAAACAAATTAAATTAAAAAGAAGTAAATTTTCTTCCAATGCAGATACAACATTTTAAAATCATTATTTCATTTTAAAAACATGGCATGAAGACACTGATTGTTGAATTTTGCTAATTATTTTTCTCAAACTTTCTTACAGGAGAGCGCAAGTATATTTGTCAATGTTGTGACCGTGGCTTCAAACAGCTGACCCACCTACAGCAGCATTACAGAATTCACACTGGTAAGGTCACAGTCTCTGTCCAGCTGGCCTACTGCCAGCCAAGGAAACTTTGCGTGTCCACATATACTCCAGTTTCCACATATAATCCATCAGATGACAGGATGACCTAGAATGTGTGTCCACATATGGTCTTGTGAGGTTCCCTGGGTATTTTGAATCCTGTTTTGATTTACTTGTGTCCAACAATTATTTTAAGTTTGAAATATTTGTCTTATTAAGAGTCTGTTAGCTACTTACATAATTTTGGTGTCTGTGTGTAAAACCTTAAAGGATTGTTACTTTTCTTTCCTTAGAAGATTAACATGGTGATTGATGTAATTGAAAATGCCATTTGCTCGGGTGATCACAACAACCTTTAATAATTTAAACTGTTATTAAGGAGAAATGTCAAGGGAAGTAAGCATGATTTTAAATCAATCCATGAGAAAGGAAGAGTTGTCCACTCACAAACCACCTCAGATTTTGCATTGACTGACTTGCTTTGAACCAAGAACAGAAGCTTAAAGTTATACTGGTATCTGATGGAACAGGTCTCAAGAGCAGTGCACAGTGGACACCCATCAGTCTGATGGAGCAGATATCAAAAATGGCACAGGGACACCTATTTTTCTTCCCTAGTCATTCAAGAAAATTTTGTGGCTATTTTCTTTCTTTGAATAGCGGTACCGGTATCAAATGTTTTATTGAAGAATAAAAAGAAACCTGTATCTGTACATGTGTCTGTTTAGTTGGCAATAAGTTTTATGTTATTCAACAATAAAAACTGACTTTTCCATAAGCCAGCGACTTTCTTGTTTTACTCTTTTGTTTCTCTTTGACTTAGAAGAGATATTTGATGAAAAATTAAAAGAATTTCTTTTTTTTTCCATATTAATGATAAATTGGCCATTTCCAATTTTTCTTTTGCGGTTGTCTTTGATATTTATATTTCATTCCATTTGTTTTGATTTATTTCTAAAACGTTGAAATTTGTTCATTTTGTTGTTACTGATTGTGCACAACTGTTACATTTGAACTTCTAAAGCAAGGGGCTGTTAAGCCTGAAATGTGTCAACAAGAAACTACCTCCCTTGTCACTTAGATATTGCTCACAGGTTTTATGTAGTGTTGAGGATTAAACCATTAGAACTACTTAACAGTTCAAACAAGTACATATCCCTCCAGCATCCAGGTGTACATATCCCTCCAACATCCAGGTGTACATATCCCTCCAACATCCAGGTGTACATATCCCTCCAGCATCCAGGTGTACATATCCCTCCAACATCAAGGGGTACATATCCCTCCAACATCCAGGGGTACATATCCCTCCAACATCCAGGGGTACATATCCCTCCAACATCCAGTTAACATATCCCTCCAACATCCAGTTAACATATCCCTCCAACATCCAAGGGTGTTGACAAATCTTGACCTTCCTATGATTGCAGGGTGGGTTTCTTGTTAATACAATTCTTTGCCATGGTGTGTGGGAGATCTCTTTTGATACTACTGACCACAGTGTCTGCTTTGATCATAGGGACCACAGTGTGTGAGATATCTGCTTTTATCCACATATGCTTATATATGGAGATAAGATTAGGGACTTCGTTCTTAAACATAGTAGAAATAGAGATATAATCTCTGTCTGAGCCATGCTTTAAAAATATTATTATTTTTTTTGGTGTCAGTGTTATTACACAACTTAAATAATAGATTCCTGTTTTTATTTCCTGAAATAAAGATCTCTATTTAGAAAGGAACTGCTTCTCTGCTACCCTCCCACCTACCTCTTACATTCTAACCCCCCTCCCCCCACTATTTGATTTAGCTTTATTAGACTAAAATTTGGCTTTCAAAATCCCTGTGATATCTAGTTTGATCTACAGGACAAGCAGAGAAAGGAAAGAAGTAAAAAAAAAATGTTACAGGTCAGGAAATATTATAGATGTAGAGTGATGACAGATGTTTTATTATCTCTGAAAATTATCAGTGTCCATGCTGGTTTTTTTTTTTTCAAACCCCATATAGCACATGCTTTATTAACTAATGAAGAAACTGACAAAATATCACAAACAGGTTTAAACTTAACTACACCGCGAAAAAAAAAATGTCTAAAATTTTTATGTGGTGGTGAAAAAAGAAAAAAATACAATTTTTGTTTCATAGTTTTGAACAAAGGCATGAAAATTTTTTTTGATGACTATTACACTTTTTTTTTTTTTTGATCCGTCACACTCACATCTGTATTTTTTTTCCCCTTCGAACATTGTTTTCTTTCTTCTCTCTCTCTTGTCTTGTAGACGAGCGGAAATACGTATGCCAGTGCTGCGACCGGGCCTTTCGCCAACAGTCGCACCTTAACCAGCACTTCCGCATACACACAGGTGAGCGACTCGTAGGATGTCCACTGTGATTCCCCGTTGTTCTGTCCCCATTAATTTTATTCTGATAGCATTCCAAATTTGGATCATTCTCATTTTTTTTTTTTTTTTTTTTGCTCGGGACACTTGATTTTTTTATTTTTTTAAAATTTTATAATTAGTTTTTTCCCCTTTGTTTTGTCCCCATTAATTTTTTTCTGATTGCATTCCAAATTTGGTTCATTCTCTTTTTTTTTTTTTTTTGTGTGCTCGGGACACTTGATATTTTTATTTTTTAAAAATTCTATAATTAGTTTAAATGATAGAGGCCCCGATAAGTTCAATTATCTTTCCAATAATACACAAAAAAAAACTCTGTGTCCTGAATATTATTTCCTCAGAAAATAAGCCACATAACCTCTGTCAAATAATTCACTAATATATACATTTTAGATCTATTAGCATTTATCCCCAAAAAAATTCTTAAATGAATCTTCATATATATGTTAAATTTTGATGTTATTGATAATTTGTTTTGACCCAACAGCCATTGGTATAGTGACATGTCAAACACAATGCATTTTTTGAATCATCAGTTTGTTGTTATTTCAAATTTTATGTCACTTTGCCTTTCCCTGATCTGTCTTTTCATGTTATATGTTTGAGCCTCATAAAATTTGATTTCTTTTTTGGGCTCTTCTTAGCAACATTGTGTGCATTGTTCATTATTCAATGAATCGTAGTAAAATATAGTCTATGATCTATGATCATTTTTACTTGGTCTCAAATAAAAAAAAAAAGACAATAGTTAAATATAATCTATAAACTACGATTATTTGTACTTGGTCTCCAAATTTGAACACCATTTTCTTCCATTTACAGTTTTAATGAAATATCTTCAATGAATAAGAATGATGATCATTGATGTCTTTGATTTTTGCAGGTCTCTACAAGACACCGTCAGGCTTTAGTGGAATAAACAAAATCTACTCTAGCAATTGAAATATATTTGGCTTTTGGGCTCTAGCGTTAGTAAATTTTTTAATTTTTAAAACATAAAGGAATAAAAATGATAACTTTAAAAAAAAAATTTCTCCTTCCCTGCTGTTCAGGTGAGAAGCCGTACCGATGTAAATTTGAGAACTGTGAGCGGGCGTTTGCCCAGCTGTCCAACCTCCAGCACCACATGAGGAACCACGACGACCAGGTCAAGAAGGAGGCGACCCGCATACACAAGTGTCAGATCTGCCACCGATGCTACACCAATGAGAGCAGCCTCAAGTCTCACACTCTGAAGGTCTGTAAACAGTTATCGGATACTCTGATGTCAACGGATGTAGTTTTCACTGGACTTAAATTAACAAATCGTATTTCTTTGTGGTGGGCGTGCAAAAGTAGTTTAAAATAATATGCTACGTTTATATTTGCTTGTTTTGCATGGTTTTGATATAGGTAATGGCGTCTAATGTGTCGGTAATGGCGACTAATGTGTCGGTAATGGCGACTAATGTGTCGGACAACTTGTTAAATTTTGGCACCACGCAATGTCTCGGTGTTAACAGAAAATTATTTTAGAATGAAATATGTTTCCACTAACCAATTTATTCATCTATATGTTGAACTTTATCATGTTATGGGAATCCACTAAATGTCATCTTTCACTGATGGTAATTGGCAACTGTCACCATAGGACAACCTTGACCCTATGCTTTACTTAACTACACAATAAATGCAGAAAGACTAGCCAGGCTGAAATAACTTTATCTAGAAAAGATAGCATATATAGATACCTTCTAAAACTGCAGCCACTTGCTGTTGTTTACTTTTTAAAATAATGTTAATTTTATCATACACTTTAAAAAAAACAACAACTTATCTTCTATTTTCCCACATGAATCTCTAATAGTTTAAAATACTTCCTCGACAGATGCACATTCATATTAAGCCTATAGACCAGCACCCATTACCAGCGCCCAAGAAAAGACGCAAGCGCAAGAACAAGGATCTGTACGGCGGGGCCCCCACAATGGTGCCGGTGTCCTCGGCCGATGGATCGTTCAGCAGCGTCATGCAGGGCATGAAGGCGGGGGGCTCCCGGACGCGAAGCCCAACGTCCTCTGACGATGATGAAATCATATTTGTTGGGGAACAGATGGGTCCACCCAGGGTGGATAACTTTGGAGGGGGAGCAGGGGGTCAAGGGCAGATGCTTCAAGGTCCAGGGGGCAGGGGTCATGACCTCGGCCACCAGCTTCAATTCACCGGAATGGGGAATTTCTCCCGTGGTGCAGACCCCCTGGCGCTGCTTGCGTCTGCTAACAGGTTCACCCTACAGGACAACATGATGTCAGGGCTCGGAGGCCCGCTGAATTCCTTCTCGGACCAGTTGGCTTTTAGAGATGCTGCAATCCTCAACAGTCGTTTTGGTGATCTCAGAGGTCAGGGTTCAAGCTTTGATGACAGATTCTCATCTGGCAACTTCAACCAGCAGCAGCAGCAGCGAGATCGGGACAACTTTGGTAACCATAGTGACATTAACCGCAATGGGGGCAGTAACAACAGCGGGGGAGACAACATGCAACCACAGAACGGAAATGCCAACGAGAACAGGAACCAGATACCTGCCCACAATCAGGGCATGCTGCGAGGATCTGGCATGGGAGGACTGGGTGGGGGGATCGGGGGACTGAGTGGCAGCATCCAGGGAATGATGCACGGTGCGGGTCAGGGCAGCCTCGGTGGTCTTATGAAGCAGATCAAACAGGAGCCCTTGGATTACTTCCCCTCGTCCTGTCATGGGGGAGATCAGTTTGCCGGTATGGGTGTAAACAGCGGTGGAGGCTTCCTGTCCCCGCAGCACCTCATCAACTCCCACCTCCGGGGCCAGCTGCCGTCGTTGAACGTGCCTCTCATTCGAGACCACTTCTCTCACAATCAGATGTTGCCGCATTCTTCTGCTGCCTCAGCTTCTTCCTCCACCTCCGTCACCAACGTGGTCCCCTCCTCCACCTCCTTGTCCCTGTCATCCAGCACTCCCTCCTCCCTGGCATCCCTCCCACTGCCCCTCTCCCACATGGGTCTGTACCATCAGTCCCACTTTTCCTCCACCCAGAGGATGGGTGGCCTCCACCCCTCGCCGGCCTCCACCCCTTCAAGCCAGATGTCTGTTGGAGGGAACAATCTGCCCAGCAACCTCAGCACACAAGGTGGCGGCCGATCTCCGCTTGAGCAAGAGGATCTGCGCTGCTTCTCTCCTCTTCGAAACTAATCACAAAACTTTCTACTGACCTATAAAAAGGAAAAGACTCAATTATTGATTGACTAATGTTTATGACAAGCACAAAGATGGTTTCCAACTGTGGACTGATTCATTATGTTAGCTGCTTTACAGGTTTACAAGGATGAATACTGCTTCAATGCCCCCAAGGAGATACCTACAAAAAACACAACTTATCAGCAGAAATATTTAACAGCTGTTGAATGAATGAGTAAGTGGCTGTACTTGGAGAACAGGCTCTTGTTATACTCAATGTTTGTGTATTTGGAGTTTGCTATTCTCAGAACTGATGTGATTCACACTCTAGGCACAACACAGGTTTCCAATATTGGTGTGAGGAAGTTCTTACTGAGTAGCTGCAGATATGTGGCATAACATTGGTCTCTGCCTGGGATAACATTGGCCTCTTCCTGGAACAGCAGTTAAATTGGAATACTAACAATGATAAAAAAACAACAACTTTTAAATTATGTGTATGCTATCAATGATTGACACATGGATACATCTGCTGACAGGGCACCCAGGAGAGCTTAAGTTGAAAATGATGACAAGGCCAAGGTTGTTGAAAGTTCATGATGATTAAGCTGTGTTAAAAAATATAGGAATGTTTTTCTGTTTCTTGTCCTTCTCATTTATAAATAATGATTTAGTTTAATGTAGGTCAGGTAGGTTGCTGTCAAATATTTCTGTATTGCAGATTAAAGTTAGCACCTGAAAGGTTTGATGACATGGGTTTACCTACGTTAACTGGTGGATTATATAATCATTCGGACTTATTTAAACCATATTGCTTAAGAGTTTTACCTTCTGTGCATACACACTTCCAAATGTGCATCATAAAACAAAGGACACCCCCCCCTCCCCACCCCCTCGCGCTGTGGACATGTTTGAGACTCCTGTTCATTCAGAAGCAGTGGGATTGTCTTTTTATTCTGTCAATGTCAGTGGGTCACAGTTACGGTCAAAGGGTATTAGTTACACTCTCTCCTCTAGTCTGTTTTTATTAGGTGATGCAATGTGTTTGAAGACTACACATTGAAAATAAAATGTTGTTTTAATAGCAATGAAAACACTGTGTGTTTGACGCAGACATCTGTTATGTTTGACACAGACATGTGTTATGTTTGACACAGACGTGTGTTATGTTTGACACACACATCTGTTATTTTGACACAGACATCTGTTATTTTGACACAGACATCTGTTATTTTGACACAGACATCTGTTATTTTGACACAGACATCTGTTATTTTGACACAGACATCTGTTATGTTTGACACAGACATCTGTTATGTTTGACACAGACATCTGTTATGTTTGACAGCACAAACTGGAAGATGTTTTCAGTGAGAAGGGAAGGAGGGGTGTGTGAGGAAGGGGAGGGGGGGTGTTTCTTGAAAGGCTTGTTGTTGTTATTGCTGTTATTTTCAAATCCATGCTTAAATTAGGGGTCACAGGGTTAGTTGGTGAAATATTTCAATGTGATTATTTCCTGATTGATCAATTCTCTGCTCCAATGAGTTGTGTAAGAATTTTTGGCTAATTTAAAAACAGATTTTTTGTTAAGACTGTCTTTAAGTTCCAGTTGTTAAGCTGTTCTATGTCCTGGTCAGTTTAATATGGCTCGTCTGCTTCCAATTTGAGTTTTCAAACATGTATGACAAGTATTATCCTCATCCTCCTCTTTCAAAATGATCCCATTCCTCCTATCCCCAAATTGCCACTCTCCACCCAAATCCCCTTCCCCCAATTACCCCTTCTCTCAATTCCTCCAATCTCCCAATTGCCCCTCTCCCCCATTATTCCTCTCCCTCAATTCTCCCTCTTTCCTCAATTCCCCCTCTTTCCTCAATTCACCCAAACTCCCAATTTCCCCTCCCCTCTCCACCCGATTCTCTCTCCTCAATTCCCCCTCTCCCTCACTGCTCTCTCTCTTCAATTCTCTTTTTCTTAATTCCTCCTCTCCGCCAATTCCCCCTCTCTCCCTATTCTCCCTCTTCCCCAATTCCCCCTCACTCCAGATAGGTGATGATAAGTACTTATAGCAGTTTCAGAGCAGCCAAATTAAAAAAGAAAATTAAAATAATGAAAAAGTGATAAAAAAATAGGGAACAATGACTAGAGTAGAAATAATTATGCATGTAAAAAATTTTAATAATGCATCGATTGCTGCACTCTTTTTCAAGGAACCATACTTCCAGTCATCTATATCAAATTGATGTACTTAATTGGGCTCAAATTTGGTTACATATGGATTTTTAAAAAATCTGGCTTGATCTGTTACCTGTGTCTTTCACAGCTTGCCAAATAGGACGAGTTTTCTCTTGAACATTTGAAGTGGTATATTTAGAAAACGCATCTGTGAAAAACATTTTTTCCCCCAAAGCTTCCATTTTATTGTTTTAAAAATGTCAGCTGAATGATTCTGTTCTCTTCATTTATTTTGTTAGATTTTTTTGGTAACAATAATTGATAGGTGTCGCATAATTCTTGTCTCCACTGTTTTGGTATTTCAGGCTCTGTATAGATGCAATCAGTTCTCAGTTGGTTTTATAACATGTAAATGTTTCACAATTATATTTTTAGATTAGATGTAGAAAGATCTTTGCAGGAGGGAGGGTGTTGTTTTTTTTTTTTTGGGGGGGGGGGGGGTGGGTCAATTCTTCTTTTGTTCTATTTTGTTTTTTTTTTTTTTTTTTTTTTTTGTTTTTTTTGTTTTTTTGATTATTTTTTTTTGTTTTTTTTTTTTGGGTTGTTATATTGTTATTTTGTGCAGTTGGAAATAGTTTTGGAAAAATTGCTATTGAGATCATTGGACTGCAAGATGACCTTTGACCTGCTAATGTTACTTTGTTGTCATTATCCCAGTATTTTTCTATTTTCATCATCAGTTGCTCCTTATTTCAACAAGCCATTGGGACTGATCCACACCATTCATTCATCTAGCGATTTAGACTTATCCATTCATTCATCTAGCGATTTAGACTTATCCATTCAGTCATCTAGCGATTTAGACTAATCTATTTCATTCATTCATTCATCTAATGGTTTATACTTGTCCATCTCATTCATCTGGCAATTTTGACTAACCCATCTCATCAATAATTGCCAAGTCCAAGCCTCAAATTGTAAATATGTCATTCTGACCAACCAGCTTGTGCTGCCATCTCTTTCTCTCTCTCCGTTCATTTGTTGCATTGAGATGCCATGTCATCACACAATGACAGATGAGTGGGGCAGATGAAAGTCCTCTCACGATACAAAACAATGCATGGTAGAATTAAAACTGCGCATGTGTTTTTATGTAGACATTTGTTGATGAGGATGTTTGATTCCTCTTAATTTACCACACCGTGTAATGTCAAGTCTAGTGCTGTTATTTATCCAAGCTACACATTTTCTTTTGACACTTACGTTAGATGCTGATGTGAAATTTATGGTCAAAGTGTTCAGATAAAAGCTTGAAAACCATTCATGGTGGGGGACAAGGGCATCATAGCTTTTGTTGGCTTTAAAAAAAAAATATTTTTTTTGTTGTTGATACAAATTATGTTTACATTGTTTATGCCATCAGTATACAGGCATTTTAAATTTTCTGATAATTTTTGTTGTTGTAATTATGACTCTTTTTTTTGTGTGTGTGTGTGTTGGGATTCTGGCCTTTTTCCCCCCATCAATGTCAAGTTCATTTCAATGGTTATATTCATTTGTATTTCAAAATCATGCTGAACTAACATAGATTACTTATTGCTTCACATGAACATGTACATCCATCGTTCTCTGACTGATTTATAATATATGTTTATGCTTCACATGAGCTTGTACATCCATCGTTCTCTGACTGATTTATAATATATGTTTATGCTTCACATGAGCTTGTACATCCATCGTTCTCTGACTGATTTATAATATATGTTATTTTTCACATGAACTTGTACATCCATCATTCTCTGACTGACCTATAATATATAAATATCTATCTATTGTTATGCTATGGATCCAGCCCCCATCCTGCCCTCTTTTGTCTCCCTACCGCCATGTAGTTAACTGTTGTGACTTTAATCCTTGTGTAAATAAGAGATCATTTGATTTACTCTGTTGTTTGGATGACCAGATCTTATATATATATATATGATATATATGTAACTGAATCCTGCTTTTAGCAGTAAAAACTAAACATAATCTTGTTTATATATATTAGAAATGTTGGCTTGGATGTCTTCTACTTCCAGTTGTTTTGATTGACAGTAGTTGAAGCAATGAAGGGCTTGGTTCAAAGTTGAAGCAATGAAGGGCTTGGTTCAAAATTGAAGCAATGAAGTGCTTGTTTCAAGCTTGTTAACTTGGAGGCTGTTGAGAAATTCAATGATTTTTTTTATCTGTTATAAAACTCAAATTTTTTAAAATTTTATTTGCTAAGAGCATGTAGAACTGGCTTATACTTAGTTGAACTTGATTGCCTCTTAAGTTCCAATGAATTATAAACTCACCATGAAATTGAATTCTACCAAGTAGTGACATACAAACAATAGATTTTTTTTCAAATGTATGTCACATGTCATGAGACATTTGAAGGCATTACCGTATAAGTTTATAAAGTGGTTTTTGTGGGGTAAAAATTATTTTTTTTTTTATATGATCCGGTCCTGGTAAATGAAACAGATTGTGATTGGCCAATTCTTCCATTGGAAACTGTTTGTGTCTTGTCTTTTGAAAAGTGATCCCTCAAAGGAAAAACAAGAAAATTTTAATAAATGTTGTACCGGTAATAAAAAAAAAAATAACCATTAAAAAAGGAAGAAAAAAGATTTATCGTTGGTTGACAGCATAATTAAGACTTAAACATTTTTTTACAACTGAGATGTCCATTTTCCTGCTTTATTTTAATTCATGTAGATTTGAGGGGGAAAGCGGTTGAGTTTTTTATTTACATCGTCACCATTTCTAAAAGGACATATTATGTCCTCATAATAAATGTATTTATGGGAAGGTTATTGTCTTACACTTAATTAGGTCAGACCATTGTTTCTACATATGATTAGGTCGGACCATTGTTTCTTCTGATAAATGTGCTTGGAATGATGATGTCGTAGGTTTCATGAAGACCCATCAGTCCTATACAAACTGTGTTGCTCTAGCTATTACTTCTTCCTGACATTCTTATTAACATCCCGCCCCCCTCTTTTCCCTTTCCGGTTATCCCATCTTTTGTGTCACCCCCACCACATGAAGTCTGAGGGTGTGGTCAATTGAACTGGAGGGGATGGAGGCAGATGTAGAGGTTAGGAGGCAGGACTGACCGTAGGTCTGTGTTCCTCTCATCTGGTCATAATATTGTTTCATGTCAACCTGTCAGAGTGTCTGGTGACAATCTCAGAGCTGTGCCATCAGACCAGCGTGTCGGCTTCTATTCTTCTACAACTACAATGTCTCACTTATTGGAAGCTCGTCAGCAAGCCTGTCAAGGAGTAGGGAGCAGGGCTCTGCAGACCCGCCCCTGCCTCGATCTCCTTGTAGAAGCTTCCTGACACTCCATTTTTTAAATTTTTGTGTTAACCTTGTTTCAGTTTAGGCTAATTTTGAATCTACAGACCAGTGGCATTTAACTACTTTAATATGATGTGTTTGTTTAGTGACTGACAGATGGTGTCCATGTTTGGTGAAAGTCTGTTTAAAAACTAAATGACACCCCATTATTTGTTGTGTCCCCCTCCCCCCACCCATGCCTGCATTGATGTTGCACATTGGAGCATTGAGGCTCCCATTTCCTTTGTTCAGTATTTTCTTGTCTGTTCAAATATTGAACCTCCCTCCTGGGGGGGGGGCCATCTGCGTGTTCCAAAATTGTGTACATTTTCGTTTTCTTTTCTTGATTCATTTATAAGTTTTGTTTTTATTTTGTTAAGAAAACCTTGATGGTGAAGGCAGTGTACTTTATATTAAATATATATATATATATTTTAACGCTCTAAAATTGTGATAGATAATTAATGACTTTTCAGTAAAAAGCTTCACAAAAACACCACCACCATAAGACTTTATAAGGAGGCTACAAAAGGTCACAGGAGAATAGTTATTTCTATGTTTTCATGGTGGGGTCGGGGGGGGGGGGATCCAATGTTGATGGGAAAATGTTATGTATGACAAGGAAATCTACATCTTGTCAGACAAGCACTTTGATCTTTTGTCAGTTTGTGCATTCTTTTGTCAGTTTGTGCCAGGAGTGTCATCTTTCTATGATCTGAGGTGATTTATTTTGATATAGTTGAAACAGAATGATATGATGATGTGGTTGAAACATGATGTTATGGTTGAAACAAGATGACAGAACTCTTTTTGTGTGTGCACAATAATGTTGTTATCCTTTTGTGTAAGGTTATTGTCAAATACTGTCATCTTCATTGTAGTTTAAGAGTTTAATTTTACACAGCTCCCCTTAGAAACTTTTACATGAATGGTTCCTTAATAGTTGTGTTAAATTTTATAAAAAAATGTTCATGTAGTGTTTTAACAACTGTTAAAAATAAGTTTTAAGCTAATTTCATGTAAGAATTGTTAAAAAATTTTATGTTATAGTTTCTTGGAACTCAACATTTCATAGAAATAATGTTCTAGTTGTTCTTGGCTGTGAGTATTACAAGGTTTCTTGTGTGGATGTCCCCATTGTCTCATGAATGTGGGTTCCCCAAAAGAAGAGGTTTATGCCTTCTAGGTCAAAATGGTTGCTTTGGATATGTCTCATTATTTTGGTGCACTGAAGATGGACAGCAGATAGGTTGAGTCACGTTTGGAGAACAATTTCTTTAATTGTTATTTTTGAAAATAAAAACTAATGATTATCTTATGCTTGTTTATAAATAAAAAAGCCATGATTTAAAGTGTCTATTGTGATCTTGTACTTTGTTGAAGTAATACACGAAAGTGTGCAATTATATATATATATATTTTTTTTTTTTTTTTGAAGGCTAAGTAATGTCTTGTTATTTTGTAAAAATATTACTTAACTATTGTTGTGATCTTGTACTTTGTTGAAGTAATACACGAAAGTGTGCAATTATATATATATATATTTTTTTTTTTTTTTTGAAGGCTAAGTAATGTCTTGTTATTTTGTAAAAATAGTACTTAACTATTGAGCTACAAAAATGTTTTAAGTGATAGAAAAATAATTTTAAAGCATGTATGTAGAGATGAAAATTTAAAAAACCATCAAGGTCCAATTAGTGGGATTCTGCATAGAAATAGAATTATCAAATCTTTAAATGGCTATACATAATACTTGGGACTACTAACTAGAAGAGGAAAAGCAAGTCAATCAACATATTAATCAGTATTGAGAGAAGCATTTGGATTTTGTTTTCACTCCTCTACCCCCTTTCATGGAGTCATTTTCTTAGAGAAGTTGATATTGGTTTTGTTAAAAATAAAAATGTTACTGGCATTCTTTTACATAATGTATATATATATAATTTTTGTTGTGTTGCTAGGCAACCCAGTCGCATTTCTAGGAATTTTTCTTTCTTCATTTCCTATAAAATTATGTTTAACAGCATTTGTGAAGTCTGGCCAATTTGACTTTCCATGATGTTACATTTAAATTGAAGTTTTACCTTTTTACTATAAGAGATGAGGCTAAAAATGTATGTTAGAAAGGCTGTTCAAAAACAGTGATTACTTTTGTTGTAACATTTTCAATCCATGGTCATGTCACAGTCTCTATACCTCCTTAATATGTTAGCCCTGTCAAAACTAGCCATAAGAAATATTGAATTTCCCTTCATTTTTTTGCTGAATGTCTTTTTTTGTGTGAAATAGGATTGAAACAAATATGACTTGTCGATGATTCGTGTTTGTACAAAAACAAAATGAGTGAACACTGCATTTGGACAATACTCCTGGTGGTGAAAATTATTGTCTTAGAAAACAATTGTGTGTGTTTTGTTCAAGAGTTCTATAACATGTACACCAACTAATCCATTTTTAAAAATGTCATTTCACATTTGGCTCTAAATACTAAATCATACATCATCCATTGGGTTGTGTACATACAGATCTATTCAATGACAACAACTTTAGCTTGATGTGCTCTCATGGTGGTACCATTACATTATTTGCCTACTTGTGCGTTTGTTAGTCATAGTCGACTATTAAAATATGTCCTTAAAAAGTGTTGGTTTTTTTTTTGCGTTGAGTTTTTTTGCATGTTGCGTTTGAAAAAATAAATTTTCAGGAGCTTTCCAGAAGAAAATAAAAAGAATTTTTGTTATGGACAAATTAAATTTAATTACAACTTTTTACAAGGTATAATAATTAATGACAATGATTATAATGGAGTCTTTTCCCCTTACCCGCCTAATGAATTTGACATTTTGAAAGTGAAATTACTGAAATGAAATAACAACAAAAAAAAATTGAGTAAAGTATCTGAAAAACAAAAAAAATCACCTAAATCAAAAATATTTTATACATGGCATACATAGTTTAAAAAATATAGTTCTTGTCAGAAAAATATATATATATATATATATTAATGCAGTATGTACACATATTTCAAGAATGTTACCTCAAGCACCTGTGGATGCAATAAGACTGAATGAATTTCAAGAACATATTTGGATGTGGTGTACATTTTTTTCACAATTTCTTATAAATAACTTAAATAAATCAACATTATTATAGGAGCAGAGCAATCTAGGAGAGACTTCCTTCCTTTTAATTTGAATAGACACCACTGTTTCCCAGCCCATTTTCATTGCCTATTATTTTAAAATCAAACTGAATCACTCTCTATGAGATTGCAAAATGTATTCAAGTATAAGTGAAGATTCAGAAATTTGAAGAGCAAAGTGAAATAATGTTTGCCTTGCAATCAATACTGTTTATAACAACTACTCATTTTGGAGATGGCTATGTGACTCTGCTGAAGTTTTCAGGTGAATTCATGCTGTGATGGGTAGAACAAATACTTAGAGTCCCATAATGACAAGGTATCCTTTATAAAAATAAATAGCACAATAGGCTGCACTCTGGAGAAAGATAATTATTTTACTATGACTGAGGTGAGACTCAGCATAACAACTTCTACCTACCAGGCTATATGGAGGTTACTTTTTAGGCATAGACCATATCTTGGGTGTAAGATACTGGAAATCGAATGCAGGTCTTAAAATTGTGGTTGATGGATGAAGCTTTCTGCTTAATGATAAAATGTAGGTTGGTCATTAGATAATTAAATAATCTGCATGCGACCCTTGTGTTAGTATGAGGCCCCTTACTTTGAAGAATAATGATAATTTTTACTTTAAAAGAAACTGACCATCACAGAATTACTATATTCAAGGACTGCACATACTTACACAACTGACTCAATGCTAAAAACCACCTACCAACTCCAGCGTGAGAACCACTATTTTACATATATGTGTGATTTGCAAACCCTCAACAAATATCTAAACCTCTAAAAACATACAAAAAAATGTTTGATGCAATAAAAATATCCTACACCCATGGAGCAGTGGTTTTCAAACCTTTTTGAATTGACCACCCTTTTTGCTACATGTGACTTGCTGGCAAGAGAACCAGAAACCATTTTGCCATTTTTAGGGAACAGCTGATAAAGAGAATGAAAGTGAATGACAGTGAATGACATATAAATGTGACATATTTGTAAACATTATGTCAATTTGATTAACCTTGCAAAGTGGACACAGTGAAAAACAAAAAGGGTAACGTGCACTACTAGAGTTACAGCACAGTGTGACTTCAGTCAGCAAGAGGCATTGCACCACTTAGCCGCACCAACCTGAGCTATAACCCTGTAGTGACTGGATAGACAGTTCTTGACACTGTAACTTTCTTTTTCTTGGAAGAGATGTTGTGGGGTGAGGGGCTTGTTGGGAGGCGAGTCCTCAGTTTAAAACAAGTTGATCTTCTGTTTTATCTGCTTCCTGCAAATCGGGCAGTTCTTCAACGACTCTGCACAGACGCCACAAGTGGCGTGACCGCATTGGAACACTCGGTTGCGGTGGCGCTCCATGCAGATGGGGCAAATAATGGTGTCCTCCAGCTCCTGCAGTTTCTTCTTAAGCACAGCCTCTTCGTTTCTAGCAGCCAACTCGGATGGGTTTAATGTTTTACCCTCTGCATCAGAATACAAATTAAATGATTGTAAAATAAATAGAAAAAATCAAATATGCAATTTTAACAAATTAATTTTCTAAAAATGTATAATTTTCTATCCTTTTTAATATTATTTTTGATGTAAATTAATAAATCTAATTTTTTAAAATTTCCGCAACAATTTTAGGTTTGCTGTGATTTTAGGGACCACTGTCCTTGTCAACATCAGTTTAACACTGGCAACATCAACATGTTCTGCCAAGTGGGGGGTCTCAACATTTGGTGACAGCTGTATGTATGGCATATCTGTTTTTTTCCATCACCACCATGGTGTAAAGCTATACCATTTCATTTTCATTAGTCGAGATAAACAGTCTGAAATAATCTGCTTCACTGCCAACAAATGGAGAGCTATCAATGCAACCTTTTATCTCTCAAAATCTTTCCATCTGATCAGTCACACTGGTCAAATTGTCTGACCAACAATCAGTGTATCACATTGTCATCAGAGCCATCCAGTATCATTCTTCGAAGTCGATTATTATTCTCAGTATTTTTTATATAATCCATGTCAATATCTGACTTATCTTCATTGCCGGCATTATCCTTGAATGTAGATTTGTATTAAATTAGTCACTCAACCAGCAATCCCACTAAAATACCAAAACAATAAATTCTCTGTTTAAAAAAAAAAATGAAATCACCCAACTTCCTAAAGTATTCCAATGCAATTCGCAAGGAAACATCGCTCCTCACAAGACCAACCGGTCTATGGATGCTGCTAGGTGGTATGACGCATTTGGTCCAAATGGTAGCAAATGGGTTAAACAAATATAATAATTTTCAAATGAATTTTGGTCACTTAGATTCAACTAAGTCAATATCCTATCACAGGGGGCTACTGATATTACTGGTGTTGTGTGCAGATGTGCGCCCAGTCACCATGAGTGAGCCATAGTATTTGGGTATATAGGGTATAAGTATGTATCATTTAATGGCAATGAAAAATTGTGTTACAGGCATGTATTATGCATACCCCTAATTTTAAACTGCCTTTTTTTACCTTGTGGTAATATATGGTCATCTATTTACACTTGTGGTAATATATGGTCATCTATTTACACTTGTGGTAATATATGGTCATCTATTTACACTTGTGGTAATATATGGTCATCTATTTACACTTGTGGTAATATATGGTCATCTATTTACACTTGTGGTAATATATGGTCATCTATTTACACTTGTGGTAATATATGGTCATCTATTTTACAACAAGCTTTATAATTAGGTTATTTATTTTACCTTGAAGTGAATTTTAATCTTTTAAAATACATTTTTCTTTATTGGGTGGCTGTTAACTTTTTATTTTTTCAAATAGCTTATAAGTGAATGTGGATATAATCAGTGGCTTAGCGAGGCAGGTGCGGGGGGTGCGGCCTGCACCGGGTGACACCATTTTAGGGGTGACACCCGATTGAAAAATTGCATATTTACAGGGCACACATTGCTCGCAAAAACCGAGATTCATAAAAGAATAACCGATCACACATATATTTTTCACAAATTTAACCAATCCAAATGCGTGCTTTATTAAAAGTTCAAGGTTGATGCTATATAAAAAATTACATAGTAATGGTTGGGGGGGGGGGGGGGGGGGCACCATGAGTTTACCGCACCGGGTGACACCAACCCTAGCTACGCCACTGGATATAATAGCTCATGTGTATGACAGCCCTCATCATGTCTCACCACCAACCCACCTTGTGTTAACCTGCCTTCAATCAGCTCTTTACATTTCAAGCACTTCTTCATTTTCACGCAGCACTCATCACAGGCAACATTGTGGCCGCAGGGCTGAAAGGTCACCAGGGTGGTCACGTTGCAACAGACCTCGCATTCCTGCACGACCTGCTTCAGTTTCTGCTGATTGTTCTTCTGCTGTTTCAGGGTGCTGGGAACGGTTCAAAAAATTTCCAGTAGTTACGTTAGTCATTTCATGACAAATGTTTACAATGGTAATAAAATGTACAAGGAATATTTACAATGGTTACGAGTAGTACACAAAAAATAGTATCTACAATGACTATGAGAAGAACAACAAAAATCTACAATTAATTGTATGACGTACAATGCACTGGCAAATTGCTGTACGACCTCTGAGATCTTCACATCATTAATGATATCCAAGGGTGTCTTCCCCTGGTGATTCTTCTTGTCCAGACTAGCACCTTGCTGCGCCAGGTAACAAGCAATGGCAGCACCATTCTGGTCCTCTTTTTCTCCCATACCCAGCTGGTTGCGTATCTTGGGAAGAAAAGTCAAAATGGATAATATTAAACTCTATCCATTAGTTCAGTCTAATAATAATAATATGCATCAGATCAGGCTATTTACCGCATCATTCTGCCCAGTACATGCCACCCCAATATTTGCCTCATTATTCTGCCAAGTCAATTCCACCCCACTATTTGCCTAATTATTCTGCCAAGTTGATTCCAGCCCAATATTTGCCTCATTATTCTGCCAAGTCAATGCCTCCCCACTATTTTCCTCATTATTCTGCCAAGTCAATTCCACCCCACTATTTGCCTCATTATTCTGCCAAGTCAATTCCACCCCACTATTTGCCTCATTATTCTACCAAGTCAATTCCACCCCACTATTTGCCTCATTATTCTGCCAAGTCAATTCCACCCCACTATTTGGCTCATCATTCTGCCAAGTCAATGCCACCCCACTATTTGCCTCATCATTCTGCCAAGTCAAAGCCACCCCACTATTTGCCTCATCATTCTGCCAAGTCAATGCCACCCCACTATTTGCCTCATCATTCTGCCAAGTCAATGCCACCCCACTATTTGCCTCATCATTCTGCCAAGTCAAAGCCACCCCACTATTTGCCTCATCATTCTGCCAAGTCAATGCCACCCTACTATTTGCCTCATCATTCTGCCAAGTCAATGCCACCCCACTATTTGTCCATTTCATATTCTGATCGACATTGACCTGAGCAATTATTTCCAACAATCTGTTACTTACAGCATCCAGCATGGGTGAGTGGTCCTTCTCTGTGGCTACTGTCTGCCTCATGAGAGCCAGGTGCAGGCAGGTGTCCCCGTCCTCGTCCATTACATTGACATTACCTCCTTTGCCGACTAGCAGCTCAATGATGGACGTGTGGCCTTGGGATACAGCCAGGAGGAGAGGGGTCTGCTGGCGGTTGTTTCGAATTTCAATTTCGGCCCCGTACTGTGAGATGTAGACCACAAAATGGTTATTTTCTAAACATGGCTGCATTATTGTTAAATGGAAGTGATGTCTTAATACATTGACATCCTAACAATTTTTTTGAAAATTTGACAACATAATATACTGTTTAACAGGTCCCTTGAAAGCGGGCTACGTGTTCAATTTCATCTCTGTAGCATTCTGCAAACCAGAAATATAAGAGAATAAAAACTGATTGAAAAGGCCTAAGCCCATGAACTACAGACTAGTTTTGGATGAGTCTGGTCCTAGCTTGTGTACCTGCAGCAATGTAGCGGCAACATCTTTGTGACCATTCAGGGCGGCCAGGTGCAGTGAGGAGAAGCCATCATCTTTCTTTAAGTCTACAATTTGGCCACATTTTTGGAGAATTTTTTCTGTTGCACTATGTTATACAAAAAAAATAAATTATTATTTATGTTAGCAAATACTTCAGAAACAAAAACATTTTACATTAATTTAAGTAAATATGTACACAACAAAACAAAACAATAAGAAAAAGCAAATATCATTTCAACATCTAAGACCTGGCGCTGAGTCCAGATGAAAAGTCCTATCAGGACACAACAATGACTTAAGCATATTTCCCTGATGCAGTGATGACAAACTTACAAAACATTTCCCTGCCAATAGCATACAAAAAATTCCCTGCCAATAGCACACAAAAAATGTCCCTATCAAGAATACAAAAAAATTCCCTGCCAATAGCACACAAAAAATTTCCCCGTCAAGCATACAAAAAAAACTTCCCTGCCAACACACAAAAACCACTTCCCTGCCAACAACTCACAAGACATTTCCCTTAAGTGCCGCATGATGTAACACATTAAAACCCCTCTTGTTTCTCAGCGTGAAGTCAATCTTGTCATAGTTGACCAACATTTCAATGATGACATGGTTCTCTTTACCAATGGCGTCATGCAATGCTGTGTCCCCATAGGCATCCTGAAATGATGGGGGAATTTTCAGCAAAGTTTAACCAGTCATTAACTATTATCACGAGAGTTTTAAACCATTATTTTAATTGGTGTCACTGGTAAACTTAGGTGTTAGTGAAGGAGAGATTACTGTAAGAAACTATAATTTGAGTTGCATTGTCTTAAATATAACACCTTTGATTACCTGTATGTTGACATTACAGCCCTGCTTACTTGTACCTGAACGTTGACGTTGCAACTCCAGTAAATTGTACATGAATGTTGACATTACAGCCCCAGTAAATTGTACCTGAATATTGACATTGCAGCCCCAGTAAATTGTACCTGAATGTTGACATTGCATCCCCAGTTAAGTAAGACTCTGACACACTCCTGGTGCTGTTTGTTGACTGCTACATGGAGGGTGCTACAGCCACCGTTGTTCAGTGAGTCAACATCAGCTTTCTTCTCCAGCAGCTGACGCATGACTTCTGGCTGGTTGCTACATGAGGACAAGATAGAATTGAATGGGGAAATAACAGAATTGAGTGGGGAAAATTGAAGGATTGAATGGGCAAAGAACAGGACTAAGTGGGAAAATTGCAGGAATAAATGGGAAAATTGCAGGATTGAATGGTAAACTTGCAGGATTGTGTGGGTTGGCAGTCCTGTATGGAAGCTCTTCTTGGAAAGGAGGTAAAATCTGGCTAAAAAAACAAAACCAAAAAAAACAAAACCATTAAATTTGCAAACAACAAACCCCCCCCCCCCCCCCATTGTTAATTGTTCTGTTTTGGTATCTAGAAAACCAATAATTGAATGTTTTGACCCGCCCACTGAACTTTTGGCTTTGAAGGGTGTGCTGGGTAGTGGGCTGTATGAATCTCTTAGAAGGTAACTTGACCATTCCCCCTCCAGGTGACTAGATACCGAGGGTTGCCCTTGCCCCTTGTGAGACATGAGAGGATCTCAAACAGCTCACTTGGAACGCTTCCTTTGTCATTGTGTATAGTTTTATAGTAATGAATGGGATGCCCTCCTCAGATCCATAAATGGCAGATGTGACCACTGTCCCCCAAACACTTTCATTTATAGTGTTTCAATCCACTGAGGAACCTTGTCCTAAAAGCAGACCAGCATGATAAGATGGACCTACCCAAAAGCTGAATAATGCAGGGCCGTGTCCCCATCCTCGTCTTTGGCCTCCAGGCTGGCTCTGGCGTTCAACAGGGTTTGGACAATGTCCCTGTGGCCCTGGTGACTGGCAACCTGCAGGGCAGTTTTACCCGAACTTTGTTGATCAACCTGATGGTACAACAAACTAGAGGTTTAGTGGACGCTAACTTGACAACAAAGTCCTTAGAATGCACCTGGTGTTTCCGTGTTTACAACCTCAACCAGATTTAGAATTGAGTCACACCTTCACTTTTGCATGAACCAAAATCGTATGGTTTTATAACATATGAACCAAAATCATTTAAGTCAGTTTCCTTCAAAGCATTTTTCAAAATCTGAATAAGTTTAAACTCACTTTAGATGCAGGTGAAAGTCTTTGTTTACCTTTTTTAAATAACATTTTTATTTATAGATTTTTTTCTGCTAATAAATGATTTCAATTTATATCTTTATAGAGATCAGAGCCGTCCAACCTTTTTGACTCCTTGGGCCAAACAATATTTTCCCGTCTAAAAAGAAATTTTTTTAATTTAAACAAAAATACTTTTAAAAAATTCTTCTTCTTACCATATGCATAAAGAATCATAAATACTATAACATAAAAAAATCATAAATCCAATATCATTATCAGATCTATCGGGATCCTTCCGTCTCAGATCATCAATAATATAAATAACGCCAATAAAAACTATAGCGCTTCTTTCATGATATATTTTGCTTTGAATGGTCCTTGCAATTTTCTAAACGTAATATTTTTCAGCAGCAACTGCTCCTCATTAGATTTCAGAAATGTTCACCATTCAAAGCGTTACGTGTTTTATAAGTCATTACAGAGAATCCAGCTTCACTGACGTAGGTGCTTCTAAAAACATGGTTAAATTTTGTTACATTATTTCTAAAGTTGTGGAAATTCATATGAAGAAACATACATCATCAAGGATTCCTTCTTATGTTTGCTTCAGACCTGCCAAGAAAAACAATCTGTAGGGGGGTGACGGGGGGAGAGGGGGGGGGGGCTGGTTTAAGATCTACATACCAATACACGAGTGCCACAAGCCTTTTTTTTAAGTAAATAAAGAAATATAAAGTTACCTCCATTGTCTGAAGAGTCCACAGAACATGAGAAAAAACTTTACTGGAAATGTTTACATACAGATATATACACAACAGAGGATCCATTTTATTTAGATATGTACATAAGAGTTCAGTTCTTTAGCATATTTCTAGTGGCCTTTTTGCACTTGTCCAACAGCTCTTTGGACAACTGAAGGTTAGCATGGCAATTGATTTTAGTTACAAGCAAGTTAGAAAGATTATCAACTTTCAGGCTTGCGTTGACTCTCGAGCAAGGGTGTGGACAATCCCCGTTGTTTTAGTGCGACCACAAACATACTTTCTATCAATCTGCAAGTCTGGAAACACTTCGTTGACTGTGGCGTTAAAATGATTGGAGTTGGCTAGAGAAATATTCCCTTCTATAAGAAAGATGGTAAATAAAACTTCTGATCTGATAACTGAATCGTCCGATCCTTAGCAAAGAAATTAGACTTGGATGTCGTAGATTCACTGCTTTTAGCTGCAGTTGTATGTTTTTGTGTTAAAATATGTTTATTAATATCATTGTATCCACCACTTTCAATAGATTTATCCATTTAATTAAGAAAATCTTTAACAAAAAAAAAAAAAAGGTCACAACACAGCCGGATTATTTTTTTAGCCTCGTAAAAGGATGAATCCCGATCGGATCAATTGATGATTGAAGAATAATTTGGAGATCCCTATTCACTGCTTTTAGCTGCCGTTGTATGTTTTTGTGTTAAAATATGTTTATTAATATCATTGTATCCACCACTTTCAAAAGATTTATCCATTTAATTAAGAAAATCTTTAACAAAAAAAAAAAAAGGTCACAACACAGCCGGATTATTTTTTTAGCCTCGTAAAAGGATGAATCCCGATCGGATCAATTGATGATTGAAGAATAATTTGGAGATCCCAGTTCCCTTCGATAAAAACAAGGCAGTCCGGCGACTGGAGATATTCATCCGGCGGGCATGTCACGCTTTATTTAACATTGTCACTTTTCAACCATGTGTTCATTATATATACCAGCAATGGTTCTAGAATTTCTCATGTAGAATTGAACATGTTTCTTTTTCATGTAAATGTCCAGACTATCTTGAATTTGTTTAAATGAAGTACTGTAAACTCTGATCCACTATTAGCAGTCACGTGAAAAGGCTGAGAACTTATTCGTCTGGTCGCCGGACATGTAGACAAAGAAAGTGGCATCATCGAAATGCACCACTTCCTGTGCTACCAGATTTTTTTCTTTCTTTCTTTTTTTTGTTGTCGCTTTTGGATTTTTATGACAGGTGAAAAATTAGAATGTTCAGAAAATCCAAATTTTAAGGGGTTTGTCGGAAGGTCGGAATAAGGGGTAAAAAATCTATATAATTCCGACAAAATCGGAAGGGTTGGCAGGTCTGTTGCTTATATAAAAAAAAAAAGACTTTGAAGAATTGTTCCTACTGTCTGTCACAATTGCCACCTGGGTGAATTGCACTAACCACACAAAAACCAAAAGTCTTCTGATTTATACTCTTTAAATGTCTCCAGGTCTCTGAATGGCAGATCCTTGTCCACAATGTCATAACACTACAGGATGGACTCTCCCCTCCCATACCGGGCTAGACCACCTGCTTTAACAGCATGGTACCACACCACCTGCTTTAACCTGTGCTCTCTCCTAGTTTCCTTACAATGCTGAATCAGTGAATGTGGATTGAAAATATTTTATTTTACATACATCATAAACATTTCTCAAGCTCGGGCCATTTAAAATCAGTTGATGGCAGGTGGGTTGGACAGCACTGAGGTAGATATTTCTAAGTGGCCATAGCAACAGTCCACACCGATTGCTTTCATCATGATCTTTTAAACAATCTGAAATGCTACTATTCACTGACCTTGTCTGGATATTTTGAAAGAATGTCCCTAACAACCTCTACGTGACCTTGGGCTGCCTCTCTGACCAGCCTGTCTGGACCTGTCTCCTGACCATGAGATGAGCGCAGCTCTGCCAATTGCTCCAGGATGGATGTGAAGGCCGCTGGAATAAAGGTAAGTTTATTTACACGGGCAGAAACAAAAACAATGATAGAAAACAAGAGCTAACCATAAGACCTTGTGACAGAGCTAAATTGATGGCTGTTCTTTGACCTTGTGACAGAGCTAAATGAATGGCTGATTTTTGAACTTGTGACAGAGCTAAATGAATGGCTGTACTTTGACCTTGTGTCAGAGCTAAATGAATGGCTGTTCTTTGACCTTGTGACAGAGATAAATGAATGGCTGTTCTTTGACCTTGTGACAGCTAAATGAGAGAAAAAACCATGTTACATTTGGCAGGCCTATGATCTTTTCACAACTTACGCATAGCCGTCCTCTGGTCATGTGATGAACCAAGTGTGTTGTTCATGTCTTCGGCCCCGTGAGGCACAAGTGTGCAACACAATGGGTTGAATGTCCACTCCTGATTGGCAACGGATACCCGCAGATCTCCATCGGCGTAGACTTTCTTCACAATGCCAGTTTTTCCTAGGGTCTGTAATAAATAAGCAAACTGAGAATTAACATCGTCATCCAACAGGGAATCTCAACCCTTTGGCTTTGAAGTTACAATTCAGTACAGGGGGAACAATGAGCCCAAGCCCCTTGAATGAGATCTCTTAGAGTTTCATCAAATTTATCTCCATTTGGGAATTCCCAAAATACATCTATTATCCTTGAAAAACTTAAGCCCAAGCAGAAATGCTTCAAACAGTGGTCATTTGTCCATGACCTCTGTATGTTCTAACTATTTGTCCATGACCTCTGTATGTTCTAACTATTTGTCCATAACCTCTGTATGTTCTGTTCTCACTGGAGAGAAATTTAATGGTTTTACTGGGAAGGGGTTGGAGCTAACTAAATTTTTTTGTTTAAATTATTTTTTTTTATTTTTTAAAATGCTTATTTTTTATTTTGTTAAAATTATTATCGTAAGAAAATGATTTAATTTATGAAATTTAAAGTTCAAAAGATAAATATCGAATGGTTGTATTTGTAAAATTCTTTTTTTTTTTTTAAATTTTGTATATTATATCGCAGAATATACCAATAAATTTGAACTATTTCTTCTATTGGTTTTTTTTTCCCCTTCTCACAATAGGTTGTTTGTGTAAAGAATTCTTTTTTTTTTATTTTTTATAATGATTATTTTTTATTTTTTTAAAATTATTATTGTAAGAAAATGATTTAATTTATGAAATTTAAAGTTTAAAAGATAAATATCTAATGGTTGTATTTGTAAAATTCTTTTTTTTTTTTAAATTTTGTATATTATATCGCAGAATATACCAATAAATTTGAACTATTTCTTCTATTGGTTTTTTTTTCCCCTTCTCACAATAGGTTGTTTGTGTAAAGAATTCTTCATTGAAACAAATACAACCATTTTCAAGAACTTTTTATAAAATATGAATCCCCATTCATTGCTGAACAATTCTATAACTAACATGATGGGTATTGATTAACTACTCTTTTTATGGTATCATATTATGCCAGATGACCTAAAAAAAACAAAAAAAAAAAAAAATCAACACCGCACTGCACAGAGTTAAATATTCTTTACTATAAAAAAAAAGGTCTACTGACCCCGAAGGTCCACTTACATTTTTCATGACGTCTGTCCATTCCCCATGTCCTGCTTGCCACTCTTTCACCAGAAGCAGGTTCTCAGAGATTTTGACAAAGTCATCCGTGTGGAACATGTGAACCTAAAGTAATGTTTAGTTATAGTCTAACAGAGACTCTAAAAATACTTTTAAATTATTTAAATTATGTTCTGGTCAAGAGAAGTTACCTTTTCTAAAGGCCCATAAACTTACTTCAGATGTAGGCCTACATTAGTTGCATTTATAGAAAATGAAATTAAAAGGTTTCAAAGGTCAATTAAAGTTATAGCTCAAGACAAATTCATTCCAGGAATTTGTTTATTATTCACTGTTAACTCTTTTCTTTTAAGAAATGATTTTATTATTCAACATGTATATTATATTAATATTTTAAGAGCATTTATAAAATAAACCAACATGTTATGATGACAAAAGTTCTTTAAAATGTTAGCTATCAATGCAATACCTTGGTCAGCGCATCTGTGTGAAAGGTCCATCTGTTAACACAACCTTCATACTGCACCCTGACATCCCCTCGGTCTGTGATACGATGTACTGCCCCAACTTTGTTGATATACTGGGGGGAAATAAACACTATATTTGATCTATGTCCTAACATTATATCTGATACATGTTCTAACCTTATATCTGATACATGTTCTAACATTATATCTGATCTATGTCCAAACATTATATCTGATACATGTTCTAACATTATATCTGATCTATGTCCTAACATTATATCTGATCTATGTCCTAACACAATCTCTGATCTATGTCCTAACATTATATCTGATCTATGTCCTAACACTATATCTGATACATGTTCTAGCACTATATCTGATCTATGTCCTAACACAATATCTGATCCATGTCCTAACATTATATATGATCCATGTCCTAACATTATATCTGATGCATGTCCTAACATTATATATGATACATGTCCTAACATTATATATGATCCATGTCATAACATTATATCTGATGCATGTTCTAACACTATGTATGATCCATGTCCTAACATTATATCTGATGCATGTTCTAACACTATATATGATCCATGTTCTAACACTATATATGATCCATGTCGTAACACTATATCTGATCCATGCCATAAAGATTTTTTTCCCCCCACTTTCAATTAACTAAATAATTATATGTTTCATTTGTAAAAAATTAGTTTGGTTTAGTCATCACATTGAACTCATGATATAATATATTGTTAAGGTAGTGATACAAAGCTGATATTTTGTAAGATCTGCTCTGTCTTGGAGCTGATTTGGCAGTGTTTTCAATCAAATGGAGTATAGTTGATCCTCAATTTACCTATTTCAAATTATACCCATCTACATCAAGAAAAACAAGTTTGCTGCAACTTATGAATCTAGTGCTGTCTACCAAGCCATGCCCAATGAAACATCCCCATCTCCCTATTTGCACAACTCATTGCCATATTGAAAAGTGTGCAGGCTCCTCAATGGTTTCAAAAGTGTTTGCTTAAAAAGATTGTGATCCATGTGTGCTATTTTCACCACCAAAAGCTCTTTCCTTGTCATCACTCCACATGACTGGCAGGTCTCTCAAATCGAACCCGCTGGACCCCATGCTCAAATCCCTCAAGTTTAAACATCTATCTTGTTCAATCCTGCTGTAACAAAAACGTCATCAACATCTTTTTTAAAGAAAGTTTCAAAGCTGAAACTTACCTCGGCCATTCGAGGATTCCAGCCACCATGACCTTCCTGCATCTGTTTGAGTATTTCCACTTCCAGGTCACAGCGCACTTTGTCTCCCACTTTGAACTGACTAGGTGTGATGGGGCCCTCCAATTCAACAAATTCCCCTGTCAAGCAGAATATACAGGTAACAATAAGATGATACAGTTAACAACAAGACCCTGCAGGTGGCCTTGATATAAACTACTGTCACCATGTCCCAGACCAACAGGCTGTTGTGAGACTCTCCCTAGACCAATAACTACTGTCACCATGTCCCAGGCCTACAGGCTGTGGTGAGACTCTCCCTAGACCAATAACTACTGTCACCATGTCCCAGGCCTACAGGCTGTGGTGAGACTCTCCCTAGACCAATAACTACTGTCACCATGTCCCAGGCCTACAGGCTGTGGTGAGACTCTCCCTAGACCAATAACTACTGTCACCATGTCCCAGGCCTACAGGCTGTGGTGAGACTCTCCCTAGACCAATAACTACTGTCACCATGTCCCAGGCCTACAGGCTGTGGTGAGACTCTCCCTAGACCAATAACTACTGTCACCATGTCCCAGGCCTACAGGCTGTGGTGAGACTCTCCCTAGACCAATAACTACTGTCACCATGTCCCAGGCCTACAGGCTGTGGTGAGACTCTCCCTAGACCAATAACTACTGTCCCCATGTCCCAGGCCTACAGGCTGTGGTGAGACTCTCCCTAGACCAATGCTGCCTTAAAGTAAAGGTCAGCGGCTGTTACATGAATGTCAATAATCCATCCTTTGTGAACCACCTTAAGTGGGTAATGACTTACCTAAGACAGGTAAATGGTCCCGAAAGTAGGTCCCCCCAGATGTTGCGTGTATAAACTTGAGGTCGACCTTTCCTTTGTGTCCCATACGATACACATTGGTGGAACCAGAGGACCATGTCACGTGGGCGACACTTCGACCAGACTCAGAGTCCCAGCCTCGTATGTCTGTGACCTTCCCCACTTTCCCTTCACCTCCTATGAATACAAGACAGTCACATTGTGATGAGCGCTGTTCATTTTCAACAAAATGTATGGTTTTTACTAAATTACTCTCTGAAAGTTCTTTGGCTGAGATATGATTAAAAAAGTAGCCAATCCAGTTTGAAAAGCGAATGAAACAGTTGAAATTAAAAGCGACTTTTTTTTTTGGTGCTTAATGGTAAATTACACAATATATATCTATATATATACCCGATTGTATTTGTATGGCACTATGACTTACATGAGGTAAAAACGTACAGTGATGTGGTGTTACTCACCATCTTGATTCCCCCAGTCCCAGTCAGGGCCCCTACTGACTTTAGCACCAGAATAAATGCCAAGGGCAACTACTTTCTGGCCAAGACTGTTACAACGCTTGGGAACCTTAGCTCTGGAAGTTAAGAATTTTATTTTAAAAGTTATTGAAATTTTAGCTAGGAAAAATATATCAAGACAATAGCAAGCAAAATAAAGTTGAGACTATTTGCATTGATTAACTGAAATGAAAATTAGGGAATTCTTTTCTGAAGAAAAAAAAATTGTCCCTAGACCTGGTTACCCTGGAACTCCCAAAATATTACAATATCATTTCAGAATAGTAAATAAATAAACTTACATTATAACGTATACAATAATCATTGGCATTGCATGTCTATAAAAGGCCATTCCCTAAAGTTGATTAATGATGTTTATATATTTATTGTGAATAAAAAGGTGGCCAACATTGCCATTTTGATAGAAAAAGCTAGGGGTGGGGGAGCCAAGCCACCCAGGTCAAAGTGGGGGGGGGGGGGGGGGGGGAAGGAGGTTTAAAGCTTAGCCTTCCTCCACCCCCTCATATGCACAGCCAAACGCTCCTACACCATGCCCCACTTCCCCTCTTGATGTGTACGTTATAGAATTATGGATGGTCCCCAGCCAATCGTATTTCTTGTCCATTCATTGCCCGATGTAGAAAGGAGCTAAAACTAACAACCGAAAATGCATTTTGGAATATATTTTTTCAACCCAATCTCTTAAAATCATTGTTCCGACAGGTCCCCTCATACAACCATAAAAGACATCTCAAAATTGTACATTCTATGCCAGAATCTTAAGAGTAAGCAGGTCTGTGTCTATGTTGGACGTTGGTAAAAAGATACAGAATTTATTTCACAATATGCCACCAGCTTCATCACCCTGACTTCAAGATTTTGTTAAATCAACTAGTCACATAATCATTCTTTCCATTCTTCTTTCTCAAATGCACCAAAGTATTACAGCGGACTTGAGACAAAGCTGTGGACTATCAGTTCATAAGCAAACTTGAACATTTGAATGTGAAACTAGACCACTAAATGAACAAAATCAGACTCATAAGTTAATTGACATATTGTAATTTTTAGATACAAAGTTTCCCTAGACATTACTTTAAAAATTACTTCAAACCACTATTTCTCTATTTCATAATCATGCAGCGTTTCTGCTATAGAAATTTGATTCAGGGTGTCACTCCTTGGGGTGGAGGGGAAAGTTAGGCAGGGGATCAATCTAAGCAAATTTTTTATATTACTAAGTTAAAAGAATAGAATTTTATCTGATTGGGCGGTAATTTTAATCGATTTTGGGAAGCGGGGGATTTGTGGGGTTGGGGTGAGGGCGCCTGAAAGAAACACTGAAACTACCTGGCAACCAATACCCCTTAAAATAACTAAATCATCGGGTGAGCACACATGGGTTAATGTCATGGGTCCAGCCTGAGTTGTCTCACCCTTTAGATGTTGCCGTGTCAAACCTCAGGAACGCGTGGGATGTGTCGTGTTTCTCACTCATGTAACAGAGCATGCACAGGTCAAAGTCGTGGCACTTGGTGCACTTCCACCTCATGCCCTGGATGCCTTGTATGCGGCAAGTATCACAGATTATATTAGTATGCTTGACACCTGAAGTCAGAAGAAGCAAAGATGAAAAAATCCAACAATCATGTCTGTAAACAGAAAATACAGGATAGGCTGACAAATGGATCTTTTTTATTCAAGGATTTAAATCTTGCCTTTTATAAAAATCTCAATAGTTTTAATGAAATGGTTCATAAAAGAAAGAAGATATGTGACAACTGAGGAGCATGTGCATAAAAAATTGACCAACTTCATTTCTTAAACCGATACAATACAAACAGGCGTCACTGCCAATATTTAGGCTGCATGGAAGTAAGTTACATTTGTTTACTTTGTATAAATATATTATAATAACACACTGTAATTTATTACAGCTTGGAATAACAGCATGTGGACTGCAATACAAACCCCAGGCTAGTTGTGCCAAGCTGTATGATTGGTGTCATAATTCACAGTGCGAGGATCTCACAAAAGTTAAATGAAATTAATGTATGGTGAAACTATTGACGACGAGCTAAAATTAAATAGCAGTTGATGGGAAAGGCAAATCTCTCTGGAATGTAGCTAACTTATGCACTTGGCTCAGTACTCTTGTTTGCTCATAAGAAACCTAGGCACCAAAGCAATAAGAAACTAAACAGCTCAAGTATCCTGACACAACTGTATTTTATTCAGCAATCCTCAACCACACCAGCAATAAACCAAACTCACCACAAGGGGCGTTGTCATAAACACGCAGGTCATAAGCTCCCTGGTATCCCACTCTGTAATTTGTCCGTGCCCCGGAATCCCACTGCACAACAACCGTCTTGTCGGGTGACGTCTGACTACCGGGTCTTCCAATTTCCACAACTGTCCCCACGTAGCCCTCTCCATTATCCTGGTTTCCCCATTTCCAGTCAGGACCACGGACAACCCGCATCCCCAGTTCTACAGACATTTCTGAAAAGGATTAACAAATTAGAAAAATAACATAACTGCTAACATTCTGAATTAAACCAGTTTTGGTTACTTCTTTTGGCAATTGAGTGTTGTTTTAGAAATGGCACATAATTAAAATACATGTACTGGTATCTTTATATTATGCAGTATAGAAAGAAAATGATTTTAATTAGTTTTACAAATAGTTAGGCAGGTGGAATAGGCAGGTGATAACTATCATAGTCATTATAAGAGAGGGAACTCTTCTTCAAAAACATGTCCATTATCATTTTGAGCATAAAATTGAAAGAACTGCCCCATTAGAATACATTACTATTCATTACATTTGATCATTTTGGAGTTCACTTTCTGCCTCACTGATTTTTTTTTACTGGTGTTTAACTAAAATTTTGCTATTGGTATTTGCCCAATTATTAATTTTTTTTTAAAAAACTGCTGAATTGTGACTCGATCCAGCCTGTGGACTTTGATGACCTCAATTTTGATTCAGCATGGGGTTTGCATTGTAGAGTTGTCTCTCTTGTTGTTATTTCTATGTCTTCACCCATTAACTAGGTGCAGCTTCCTGCCACTCATTACCCACCTCCGTTGATCCAGGAAGTTTGTTTACACGATTTCCAGAGGGTTCTACATGGACATGGAGGTAGAATCTACTCTCTGAAGGTTGAGTTTCTGGACTTTCTATTTTGGAAAGTTTTTATTCACTAACTATAAATAAGACGATCTACTGTGACCGGTAGACATTCAAGAGACTTACAAGACTTACATGTTTTGTATTGTATTGTAAGGATTAATATTTTTACATTTCCATTTAATATACATATTCAAGTTCTGTAAAAAAAAAATTTCTATATATATGGATTTTGTAATTTGATATAAAATCTAATAGTAATAGTATAAATAAATAGATTATTGTTAATTTGTTCTTTCTTTATGACATTTAATCAATGGTATCGTCCCTTCATTTTGTACCGGTACTGTTTATTAATGAGTTATTGTAAAACAACAGATTAAACTTGTTAAAACTGATGACAGTATGTGACACTCTGCCTGCAAGCCCTTTTTCTTGGGGCAAGCTAGTACTTCTACTACTACAACAAACAGATAAAAATGTAGTGTATGAGTATGAGTCTGAGGCTAAGTAAAAACATAATACTATAAGGCAAGGTGAAAGTGAATCCATGAATTAGCCTAAGTTATGGCAAGTTATTAATATGTAATTCTCAATCATGCTTCTAAAAGTTTTGTTTGGAAAACTAATTGACATTGTATAATAGTTAATAATACATTATACATATAAAAACACTAGATTTAGACATACAAACTTAGAATTTAGAGGCTTTGGACTTGGAAGGGGGCCCTGATACTAAATTACTTTAATGAGTCTAATGTTGTTGAAGTGTTTTGTCAGTGGGTCTGTCTCAGACTGTTTAAAGCACAGGCTAATTCTATTAATAATTTTAAAAAAAAACAACTTAATAATTATATGGTTAAATATTAATTTATTAATGATTAATGTCATGAACATTTCATTAAGTTAGTAGTAAACTCTCTAAAGTCTAATAAAGTAAAGCATAATTTATGATTAAAACTATAGTCTATAGGCCTATTTATTTTTTATACAAGTACAAGAAGTAATAACTATTAGAATAGTAATGTGAACAGTGAAAGTATTATTAAGTTTAAAGTTTAAAGTTAACAATATTTCAAGAGTTTCAAGACAAGGTTAGTTTTTAAGACAATTCTAGCAGACAAAGCGGTAGACCAACTTATCTCATTTCAATCTGAATAAGATCTCTCGCATTAATTCAGTAAAATAACCACAAATTTAATGAGTATGAGTATGAGTTTGAATGATGAATGAGTTCAATGTGTAATGAGTCAATGACAATCACAATGAGACAAGAATGACTCAATTTCTGAATTTTAGATTCTAAACTAATGTATTTTTTTATAGTAAAAAATAAATATTTTTACATAACTATATTAATACATATCTTACCAGTCTTTTTCTTATTGTTTTAACCAATTAAATGAAGAATTAGTCACGAAAAGTGAGAATAAATTATGAAATCCAGCTTAGGCTGTTATCGAAGGCAGCCATGTTATATTTCCCCTTATTTACCTAGCCAGATTTCCTGGCCAAAATGTTTTTAAAGTTTTTTCAATATAAATGTAATTTAATATTCAGATTTTCTTAAACTAATAAAGAGGACATTTGTTTACAAATCCATTGTAATATTTTATTTTTAAATTGAACTTTATTGATATTTTATTTTATTTTAATAAAAATGCATACTTTGGGAATAGTAATACGAGTTCATCCAAAGATATTTAAAACCGGGGCTTAACCTATTTGCAGTTCCTGTTTTTAACGCTGTGTCCGGTTGTTTTGAGGAAATACCCGGTGGGTCCACCAAGATTTAAAAAAAAAAAAAAAAAAAAGAAGTTTTTTCTTTCCAAAGATATTTAAAACCGGGGCTTAACCTATTTGCAGTTCCTGTTTTTAACGCTGTGTCCGGTTGTTTTGAGGAAAAACCCGGGGGGTCCACCAAGATTTAAAAAAAAAAAAAAAAAAAAGAAGTTTTTTCTAATTTCCTAAATATATGCCAGTCTTTAAGCAATAGGCTTACAGACAGTGCTACACCCTACTTGCCACCCTTTAAACAACAGTCCTACATACAGTCCTAGGCTCTACCTGCTGGGAGAAGGAAGGTTTTGAAGAGGAAGCAAGACACACAATCACACGAAGCAAAATATATATACGAGAAATCTATGTGTGGGTCTCAAGAATATTTAGATAATTATTTAAATTTTACGCTATCATTAAGTGTTTTTTTTATTAAATTTGTAGATATTAGACAGCAAGGCTAACGACAAAGTGTAAGTCATAAACAGCTGTAAAGGACCACAACATCATTATTTTTATTCTTATTATTTAAATGAAGAAGTTTCGTCGTCTATAACGAATTGAAAAAAATTTATCAAAGACTTGAAATAAAATTCCGTGAGATAATGTAGTGGTTGCTAACAGTCAATTTTTGTTAATGACATTTAAAAAATCTAGCCTAGAACAAGAAAAAAACATTTGGCCTAATTATTGATTACAAAAACTACATTTTTAGAGTTCTTGTTTTTATTTGTCATAGAAGCATTTGAGACGATTTAAGCATTTTATATTTCCCCCATTTCCCTTATAAAAAAAGACTCTGTTGTATCCTTAAATGAAATTTTAATTTTATTATATTTTTTGTTTTTTCCTCATCTTTCTTATTTTCTTTTCTTATCAAGGGAAATGATTACTCATAATTTAGGTGTAGCGTTTTTTGGTGGATTTGTTCCCTTTGGTTGCTTTACTCTTCGTCAGCTACTGTTCAGAATTAAGATTTATCAACATACCGGTAGATATATTATAATTTAAATGCGTTAAAAATAAACGTAATAAATTAATCTATAACTTTCACGCAAAATATCAAGACTACTATACATACACTCTTTGCCTTTTGTTATGTTTCGCTAAAACTAGTCTGGGACGTCATTCTTAAAAAAAAATAGTATTAAAAAACCAAAACAATTTAAAAATTTTATAAATATTTTTACATTGTCACTGAGTTCCTTTCTTTCTTAACTTTTTTATAAATCGCTCCTCCTTCCACACTACAGTCTTGATCTGATTTAATATTATCACTAACGTAATACTTGATAATTGAAATTTGAAAGTGATTAAATACTGGCGATGAAACGGTCGGTACAACCCCAATTTATTCTGATTGATTCCAGGTGGGGGTGGGGGAGAGGACACTTGACGGGTGAATGAGAGCTCATTATCCAAATTAGTTTGAATTACTGTCAAACATTATTACACAATCTTTGCGTGACGTCAGTCGGAAGTCGGAGGGGAAAAAAATTCGTTTAATATTATGCTCTTATTAACCCATCAACTCCACCTTCACGCCCAAAATATTTCAAAAGCATAATATCATTTAACCCCGAACTCTCTTAACTGCGCGCCGCGGGACCTTTGGGAGCGTGGCTTTTTCATGGGGTCCCACGAATTGAGGATAAAAATTCATTACAATTTCACATTTTTGCATTGAACTTGTCCAAGGGTGCTTTTGGGAACAAATCGAAGTGGCGAGAGCGCGTTGACTCGAACAAGGTTTGAGAACCTCTGATTTAAACTTTAAATCCGTGACAGAATAATATTTTCCTCATACCCCCGCCCCCTCAACCATCACCATCATCTTCCACCTAAGGACTGGCCACTTTAAGAGGACAAAACACATGAAGAGACAGCACATCGCTTACGCTACAAGTATGGCTCATAGCATAGCCCACTACAGCTATGGCTCACAGCATATCCCATTGCAGCTATGGCTCACAGCATAGCCCATAGCAACTATGGCTCACGGCATAGCCCACGGCAACTATGGCTCAAAGCATAGCCCATTTCAGCTATGGCTCACAGCATCGCTCACGGCAACTATGGCTCACAGCATAGCCCATTTCAGCTATGGCTCACATCATAGCCCGATGCAGCTATTGCTCACAGCATAGCCCACTACAACTATGGCTCACAGCATAGCCCACTGCAGTTATTGCTCACGGCATAGCCCATTGCAGTTATTGCTCACAGCATAGCCCACTTCAGTTATTGCTCACAGCATAGACCACTGCAGTTATTGCTCATAGCATAGCCCACTGCAGTTATTGCTCACAGCATAGCCCACTGCAGTTATTGCTCACAGCTTAGTCTACTGCAAATGTGGCTCACAGCATAGCCCATAGCAACTATGGCTAACAGCATAGCCCATTGCAGTTATGGCTCACAGCTTAGCCCACTGCAAATGTGGCTCATAGCATAGCCCATTGCAGTTATGGCTCACAGCTTAGCCTACTGCAAATTTGGCTCACAGCATAGCCCATAGCAACTATGGCTAACAGCATAGCCCATTGCAGTTATGGCTCACAGCTTAGCCCACAGCAAATGTGGCTCATAGCACATTCCAAAAACGTTACTTGCAGTCTTTCCATCTACTGGAAGCAATGCGTCACCCGCCGCCATTTCTAGAAGGTGACGTAGAGATGGGCATAAAAATCCCAAGCTCTGGGTGTGAAGGGGGAGGGGCGGCCCTTGCCCCCCTCAACCAACTAAGAGACACATTCAGGCTAACAACAGTCTCAGATCTTTGTACATCAATCCTCGAAGGCAGAAGTAAGAACTCTTACTGTAAGTGTACGAACAATATAGCAGAACTCTGATTGTGAGAACATTATGGCATAACTCTGATTGTGAGAACATTTTGGCATAACTCTGATTGTGAGAGAATTATTGCAGAACTCTGATTGTGAGAACATTATGGCTGGACTCTGATTGTGAGAACATTATGGTTGGAGTCTGATTGTGAGAACACTATGGCATAACTCTGATTGTAGGAACATCATGGCAGAACTCTGATTGTGAGAACATTATGGCCGGACTCTGATTGTGAGAACATTATGGCATAACTCTGATTGTGAGAACATTATGGCATAACTCTGATTGTGAGAACATTATGGCATAAGTCTGATTGTGAGAACATTATTGCAGAACTCTGATTGTGAGAACATTATTGCAGAACTCTGATTGTGAGAACATTATGGCAGAACTCCTGAGAGCAATATGGCAGAACTCCTGATAGCAATATGGGGTTATTTTGTTTTATCTTGAACAAGAAACATCACTCTTTCTTGCTGATGCCACGTGTTAAAGGAAGAAGGGGGGGGGGAGGCGGGAAAGGGGGGGGGTGGTGGTTGCATGCAGGAGGGTTTCTCGTTTCCCGGGTGTTTCTTACCCCGGGTGGTCGGCACGGGGAATGTTGATAGCAATATGGGGTTATTTTGTTTTATCTTGAACAAGAAACATCACTCTTTCTTGCTGATGCCACGTGTTAAAGGAAGAAGGGGGGGGGGAGGCGGGAAAGGGGGGGGTGGTGGTTGCATGCAGTAGGGTTTCTCGTTTCCCGGTTGTTTCTTACCCCGGGTGATCGCCACGGGAAATGACGTTGCTCTCATCCCGGGATAAAATGAAAGTAATCGAAAATATATTGTTAACTGAATTAAACGATCAAAGAGTTTATTTTTAAATCCTTTCTGTTAACTTCTATTTTCTTGATGTGTTTCTGTGTTTAAGGCAAAAATCTTCGGACGGCTAATTGACCCACTTCCCGTCATCTTATCGAACTGAAATTAGGCACTTAGACTCGTTGCCGATGATAACATTCTATCAAATTTTGAGCCCACCACAACCCCCCAAAAATACACTTTTCCTGTTTTTTTCAAGGAGAGATGAATGACATATTTGTTCCATGGGTGCGTGTCTTTGGTGTTGAGATAAACTGTGCAACTGTAGCTATGTCGTGCTTTGTAGTTGTGACGGATTTTGGTATGCTGCAAAAATAATATGTATTTTAACATTTATTTTTATTATCTGCGCTTTTGAATTAACTTCCATTTTCTTGGCGTGTTTCTGTGTTTAAGGCAAAAAAATCTTGCGGACGGCTACTTGACCCATTTCCCGTTATCTTATCGTACTAAAACTTGGCCCATCCCATGATTTCACGAACTAACATTGCCGATGATTGCGCTCAGTGCATATCTTAAAAAGATCGCAAGTGCGTTCACGGAAATATTTGGTGTTATAAATCGGCGGTTTAAAAGTGGGCCGGGCATTCGAACATTAATATAGTTCAGGGGCGTTAACAAATATGCGGCTGCAAGGATTATTTGCCGTTTTTTTTTTTTT